CAGTTCTAGTTCAGTTCTAGTTCAGTTCTAGTTCAGTTCTAGTTCAGTTCTAGTTCAGTTCTAGTTCAGTTCTAGTTCAGTTCTAGTTCAGTTCTAGTTCAGTTCTAGTTCAGTTCTAGTTCAGTTCTAGTTCAGTTCTAGTTCAGTTCTAGTTCAGTTAGTTCAGTTCTAGTTCAGTTCTAGTTCAGTTCTAGTTCAGTTCTAGTTCAGTTCTAGTTCAGTTCTAGTTCAGTTCTAGTTCAGTTCTAGTTCAGTTCTAGTTCAGTTCTAGTTCAGTTCTAGTTCAGTTCTAGTTCAGTTCTAGTTCAGTTCTAGTTCAGTTCTAGTTCAGTTCTTTCAGTTCTAGTTCAGTTCTAGTTCAGTTCTAGTTCAGTTCTAGTTCAGTTCTAGTTCAGTTCTAGTTCAGTTCTAGTTCAGTTCTAGTTCAGTTCTAGTTCAGTTCTCTTCAGTTCTAGTTCAGTTAGTTCAGTTCTAGTTCAGTTCTAGTTCAGTAGTTCAGTTCTAGTTCAGTTCTAGTTCAGTTCTAGTTCAGTTCTAGTTCAGTTCTAGTTAGTTCAGTTCTAGTTCAGTTCTAGTTCAGTTCTAGTTAGTTCTAGTTCAGTTCTAGTTCAGTTCTAGTTCAGTTCTAGTTCAGTTCTAGTTCAGTTCTAGTTCAGTTCTAGTTCAGTTCTAGTTCAGTTCTAGTTCAGTTTTAGTTCAGTTCTAGTTCAGTTCTAGTTCAGTTCTAGTTCAGTTCTAGTTCAGTTCTAGTTCAGTTCTAGTTCAGTTCTAGTTCAGTTCTAGTTCAGTTCTAGTTCAGTTGGTATTAATAAGTTCGTTTTAAATTTAAACTTCATAGAGAAATTTTCCTTCATTTAGAATACCATAACGTTGCCATAACATTTTAATTTTTAAGAGTTTTTTGGTTATAAACAAAAAATAACAACCTTGTACTCCAAACATGTCTGTTTAATCGATAAATTCCTCAACAAAATAAAACTATTATAAAAACTAAATAAAATTTAGAAATTTTTCATTCTTAACAAAATTTTAAGTGAAACAAAACTTTCGGTTAAAAACTTTTGAAAATTCTAAGAAAATACAAAATTTTACGTAATTTTAAACTAGGTGCGAAAGGACCATGGCTAAAAAGGGAGGAGTACAACAGCTCCAAGCAGACATACAAAATGATGAAGATTTTGAAAAGTTTTTAGAGAGACCTGGATTATTGGGTAAATAGAAAGTTGTAATTACACAAATAAACAGGATTATAATATCTAATAATTTAAAAAAGTCTTAGATGTGTACTCAGATTGGTGTGGTCCCTGTTTGGGTATGGTCGGCAGTTTGAAGAAGATTAAATTAGAAGTGGGTGGTGATAATTTACAATTGGCTATAGTACGTTTTGAATAAAATTATTAACACTTATATCTATTTAGAACTTATTTATTTTGGGTTTAGTGCAAAGCAGATCATATAACAGCTTTAAAAAGATTTCGTCGTAAAAGTGAACCAACCTGGTTGTTTGTAACGGTAATTTGGAATTTATGTTTGAATGATTTACTCTAAGTTTACCCCTTTATAGGAGGGCAAAGCCATTAACTTAATGTTCGGCACCGATGTGCCACGTCTAATGAAATTGATAACACTTGAACTTACCCGTCTTAAGGAAGGCATCAAATCGCGACCCATTTATAATATAGACGAATATCAACCTGAAGAAGTGGCCCGTCGTAAGGTCAAAGAAGATGCTGAGGCATTGGCTTTACAAATAGAGACGGCCGATCGTGAAAAGAAACGTCTGGCCTATTTAACGTATGTTACCGATACGATCATGGAAAATCTTAGCGATATTGGTATTACCATCTTTGGTCCACAAGTTATCGTGATATGTTTAAGAAATCAATGAACCGGCCGATGCCTTAAAGATCCAGTGTAAAGATCGTAAAGTTGTACAGATCTCCAAAGCAGATTTTGATATTATACATTTCAAATGTCCCAATCCTTTAAATGATGATATTTTGAATCTATTAAATGGCAAAGAATTGTTGGTGTGCTTTTGGAAATTGCCAGCAGAGGGAGAGGAAATCCCAATTTTATTAAAACAATATGCGCATGAATTAACTAAAACCGTTACCGAGCCTGCGGATGAGTTTAGTGAAGAGGAAAGGGTAACGCCAGCTATAATAGCGCCCATGGATATTAAGGTTGAATATGAGGTGGAGGGTAAGTCCTACAAAGAAAGAAGAATACATTAATTTCACCATGAAACTATATTTATCAACAGACGATGATATATGCCTTGAGGAAGAAACAGCTGAACCAGTAGAAGACAGCCCAGAACCTGAAGGGGAAGTTATTGAGCCGGCCGACGAAGAAGAAGCCGAAGAAGATGAATTGGATATTGAGACCAGCAATGAGCCTTCACCTCCCGAAATTCCAGTTTTAGATCTCGATTTGGGTCTAGATGAACCCAAACCCGAGCAAGAAAAACCTCCAGAAATCGTTGCAGTACCAGAGATTCCCAAAAAGCGTACTTGCACTAAAATCGTCACCATACCACCCATTTGGGTACCCAATAACCATCGCACCCATGCTGCTCTTATTTATGTCTATTTTCATAATCAAATCTGCATTTTTACCACCCGATCCTGTGCCGGAACCACCACATGTCATCATGGCTTTTGATGCTTATAAAAAGAGGGACTTAATCAGTCATGCTGAGTCCCATAAAGATGATGTTCCCCTGTATGGTTTCTTTACAAGTGAAGATCCGGAGGAGGCTAAATTTATAGCAAATTCAGCAGCGAAATATAAACCAGTAACGGCGTGAGTAGAACATTGTTTGTAAAATCGAACTTAAACGCAATGGGAACGGAACTAGAACTCTCAACTGAACTAGAAATAGAACTGAACTAGAACTGAACTAGAATTGAACTAGAACTGAACTAGAACTGAACTAGAACTGAACTAGAACTGAACTAAACTTAACTAGAACTGAACTGAACTGAACTAGAACTGAACTAGAACTGAACTAGAACTGAACTAGAACTGAACTAGAACTGAACTAGAACTGACTAGAACTGAACTAGAACTGAACTAGAACTGAACTAGAACTGAACTAAAACTGAACTAGAACTGAACTAGACTGAACTAGATCTGAACTAGAAATGAACTAGAACTGAACTAGAACTGAACTAGAACTGAACTAGAACTGAACTAGAACTGAACTAGAACTGAACTAGAACTGAACTAGAACTGAACTAGAACTGAACTAGAACTGAACTAGAACTGAACTAGAACTGAACTAGAATTGAACTAGAACTGAACTAGAACTGAACTAGAAGTGAACTAGAACTGAACTAGAACTGAACTAGAACTGAACTAGAACTGAACGAACTGAACTAGAACTGAACTAGAACTGAACTAGAACTGAACTAGAACTGAACTAGAACTGAACTAGAACTGAACTAGAACTGAACTAGAACTGAACTAGAACTGAACTAGAACTGAACTAGACTGAACTAGAACTGAACTAGAACTGAACTAGAACTGAACTAGAACTGAACTAGAACTGAACTAGAACTGAACTAGAACTGAACTAGAACTGAACTAGAACTGAACTAGAACTGAACTAGAACTGAACTAGAACTGAACTAAACTGAACTAGAACTGAACTAGAACTGAACTAGAACTGAACTAGAACTGAACTAGAACTGAACTAGAACTGAACTAGAACTGAACTAGAACTGAACTAGAACTAGAACTGAACTAGAACTGAACTAGAACTGAACTAGAACTAGAACTGAACTAGAACTGAACTAGAACTGAACTAGAACTGAACTAGAACTGAACTAGAACTGAACTAGAACTGAACTAGAACTGAACTAGAACTGAACTAGAACTGAACTAGAACTGAACTAGAACTGAACTAGAACTGAACTAGAACTGAACTAGAACTGAACTAGAACTGAACTAGAACTGAACTAGAACTGAACTAGAACTGAACTAGAACTGAACTAGAACTGAACTAGAACTGAACTAGAACTGAACTAGAACTAGAACTGAACTAGAACCGTAGAATTGTCTTCAATTAGTAGTTTTCCTTTCTTGCAGCAACGACAAACTCATCCTTAAAGTCAATAAAGCCTCCTCCAACACTATGTTGTCTTTGGTCACTTATGGCCCTAGCTATGTCAGTCCCAATTCCGTGGTGGGTCATGAAGAAGCCAAAAAATTCTTCCCTGAAACCTATAAAACTGCCGAACAGGAAGCAGCTGAAGAGGCCGCTAAAGAACTGGAAGATCCCAGTACAAAACGTAAATCCAAAAATCACGTTCTAGTAAAACAGCTGGAGACAACGAAGCGCCCACTACACCCACTAGTGGTGAAGAGGAAAGTGGTGATAGTATAACAGCGGCAGCAGAAGGTGAAACAGAAGTAGTAGAAGCGTTAAAAGATGCCATAGATGATGGAGCTAAAGTTGAAAATGTGGAGGCTGCAGAGGCACAGGATACAAATAATTAGCAAACACCAGGAATTCAATATTTATTTTTATATATTTTCATATAGATATTTTTTTATAAATTTTTTGTTCTCAGTTCATAGCAATGCACGTTATTATTTTATTTTTTAGAAAAATTACTTATAAATTACTTAAACCTCTTTTTTTTTAATATAAATAACTTAAAAACTAATAAATATTGATTATATACAAATAGTTAAAGATCAAAAACTCGTTTTTCATGCTGATTCTTCCTTTAAGGATTAACATTTCATATTGATTAAAAGAAAAGATTTCAAAATATTATAAGAATTTGAAAAAACTAAAAGATTTCATTTAAAATACTAAAATTTAAAGAAACACTAAAATTTTCTTCCAAGAAAAGAAAAATCTAAAATTCAAAATTTATTTCGAATATAAGTAATTAAAAGAAAACATAACTTGGTCAACAAATTTAAACTTAAGACAAGAAGCTTATTTGCTTGTTTTGTAGAAGAAAGAAAAGTTATAAATAAAATTAAAATATAACAGAAATTTTCTATTCGTTAAGATAATATAACAACTGCCTTTTCTACATTATTTACATTTTTTAACTGTTTTAAAATAATTTTAGCAAATATCCCTTTCCTTATTAAAATTTACTAAACGTAGGAAACCATTTTCATAGCCCATAGCTATTAAATTTTTAGCATTTAGATTTAAATTACAACGTAACGTATTAATACGCATTAAAGGTATAATATTTGTAGGTGGACATCTCTGTTCACTTAAATAATCGCTTTTATGTTCTTCCTTAAGCTAAAAAATAAAAACAAAACTTTAATATATATTTTATTAAAATGACTAATACATTTAACGAAATTACCTTTAGCAACGGTTCAAATACTAAACCATATTTTTCCTTATAATTTTCATCATGCATTGACCATTCCGTGGGTACTTTAACATTAAGATTCTTTTCATTTCCTTTGGGTATTTTAGCCAAAGGTTTACCATCCAACTGCTTAACATCCATGGCACAAAGCATACGCCTTTCACCAAATTTTTTACCCACAGGACACTCATAGTGCAATTCTCTGGTATCGAGGAAAAGTATATCACCATTTTCCAAAGTGGAAACGCACATATTGTCACAGGTGTATAATGCACTTGGGTAACACCACAAACCATGAAGTCCAATTTATTTTGTGGAAACATTAAGTTGGTGGGATTTACAGCCATTGCACAGCGACCATCTATAAAAGGGGAAAAAAAGTAGAAAAAACAGAACAGAATTAGAATTGAACAAGAACAAAATTAGACGGAACTAGAAACAGAACTAGAACTAGAACAGAACTAGAACAGAACTAAAACAGACCTAGAACAGAACTAGAATAACTAGACAAACTAGAACAACTAGAACAGACTAGAATAGAACTAGAATAGACTAGAACATAACTAGAACAGAACTAGAATAGAACTAGAACATAACTAGAACAGAACTAGAACAGAACTAGAACAGAACTAGAACAGAACTAGAACAGAACTAGAACAGATAGAACAGAACTAGACAGACAGAACTAGAACAGAACTAGAACAGAACTAGAACAGAACTAGAACTAGAACAGAACTAGAACAGAACTAGAACAGAACTAGAACAGAACTAGAACAGAACTAGAACAGAACTAGAACAGAACTAGAACAGAACTAGAACAGAACTAGAACAGAACTAGAACAGAACTAGACAGAACTAGAACAGAACTAGAACAGAACTAGAACAGAACTAGAACACAACTAGAACAGAACTAGAACAGAACTAGAACAGAACTAGAACGAACTAGAACAGAACTAGAACACAACTAGAACAGAACTAGAACAGAACTAGACAGAACTAGAACAGAACTAGAACAGAACTAGAACAGAACTAGAACAGAACTAGAACAGAACTAGAACAGAACTAGAACAGAACTAGAACAGAACTAGAACAGAACTAGAACAGAACTAGAACAGAACTAGAACAGAACTACAACAGAACTACAACAGAACTACAACAGAACTAGAACAGAACTAGAACAGAACTAGAACAGAACTAGAACAGAACTAGAACAGAACTAGAACAGAACTAGAACAGAAACTAGAACAGAACTAGAACAGAACTAGAACAGAACTAGAACACAACTAGAACAGAGCAGAACGGAACTAGAACAGAACTAGAACAGAACTAGAACAGAACTAGAATAGAACTAGAATAGAACCTAGACCATAACTAGAACAGAACTAGAACAGAACTAGATAGAACTAGAGAATAGAACTAGAACTAGAACAACTAGAACAGAACTAGAACAGAAACTAGAACAGAACTAGAACAGAACTAGAACAGAACTAGAACAGAATAGAACAGAAACTAGAATAGAACTAGAACAGAACTAGAACTAGAACTAGAACAGAACTAGAAAGAACTAGAACAGAACTAGAACAGAACTAGAAACAGAAACTAGAACAGAACTAGAACAAACTAGAACAGAACTAGAACAAAAACTAGAATGAACTAGAACAGAACTAGAAACAGAAACTAGAACAGAACTAGAAACAGAACTAGAACAGAACTAGAACAGAACTAGAACAGAACTAGAACAAGAACTAGAACAGAACTAGAACAGAACTAGAACAAACTAGAACAGAAACTAGCAGAACTCAGAACAGAACTAGAACAGAACTAGAAACAGAACTAGAACAGAACTAGAACAGAACTAGAAAGAACTCGAACAGACTAGAAAGAACTAGAACAAAAACTAGAACAGAACTAGAACAGAACTATAACAGAACTAGAACAGAACTAGAACAGACAGAACTGAACTGAACAGCACAGAACTAGAACAGAACTAGAACAGAACTAGAACAGAACTAGAACAGAACTAGAACAGAACTAGAACAGAACTAGAACAGAACTAGAACAGAACTAGAACTGAACTAGAACTGAACTAGAACAGAACTAGAACAGAACTAGAACAGAACTAGAACAGAAACTAGAACAGAACTAGAACAGAACTAGAACAGAACTAGAACGGAACTAGAACACAACCAGAAACAGAATTAGACAAAACTGGAACAGATCTGGAGTTGAAATATTAATACTTACATGTTAGGAATATCATCACCATAACTATATAATAGTGTCTCCCACAAGGGACACCAATCCATCGACAGTAAAATATTTTTATTAACGTCTTCTCTCATAACAATCGGTTGCATAAAACATTTTATGTCAAAAATAAGAAATTTACGATAGGCACCAGAAACAGCCAACCATCTAGGTCCAGAAGTGTCATAATGTAAAGCAAAACCTATTAAAAAAAACCAAAAATTTTACAATAATTTAACTTCTCCATCAAATCATTTAATAAAGAACTTACACTTTACACTCTTTTCACCCACATAGAAATAGTTAAGAGGAGCATAATTAATAATATCATTCTCTACAAAACGATTAAGATTCTGCTGAAGATCATTAGTTATATCCCAGATGCCAATAAAACCATTGGCGAAACTAGCAAAAATGTGTTGATGGCCGGCAAACTTTAGCAAAATAAATAAAATTTTAAGAAAATTAACATGGAATATTTAATGAAATGAGTGATAAAAACTCACCTCTGACCAGCATATTTGTAGACATTGTGTATCTAAAAGTACATGCTGTTGTTGATGTATCAAATCCAAATTTAAAAGAAAACTTGGTTTTACCTCAATTAAAGTTATATCTTTATTGTTATTATTAGATTCGGAGGATGTTACTTTCCCCTCAACATTAAGAGGCAAACTATAGATTTTTATAGCTGAGGAAACTGTGGCCACAGCTACTAACCCTAAACGATTGGATGATTCATCATAACCTCCACTTGGTAAAAATGAAATATGATGTACCGGACCATCGGGCACCACTAAACCATAATGTATATCTATTTGGGGTTTTTGATTCTTATGCGTTACTTTCATTATTAAAATCACAGTATGATGTTGTGTAGGTTGAGTAAATTTAACAAATTTAAACATATCTTGACGATAGACTACCGCTAGATATTGTTCATTGACGTGGGCGGGTAAAGGCAGCCAGGAGCATAGTTTTATTGGAGCCCCCAAAAAGTAATAAGTGTCATCTTTTATAAAAATACATAAAAATTAGATTAATATATTAATTATGAAACCTATGTTGGGTTTTAACTCACATTTATTATGAATGCTTTCATATCTTCTTAATTCAGACCATTCGATATTTGTTTGTGGCTCACCAATTACGGGAGTTAAGGCTGCTTTAGTTTTGAAATTAATTTCATTGAAATTGTTTGCTTGGTAAATATTTCTTAAAGTCTTGTTGGTTTAGAACCGAATACTGGGTTGTAAATTCGTTATAGAGTGGTTCACTGGTATAGTTTAGTTTTAAGCTGGAAATACAGTAGAAAATTAGATATTCGAATAATTGTTCATAAATAAAATAAACTAGAACTGACCTAGAACTGAACTAGAACTGAACTAGAACTGAACTAGAACTGAACTAGAACTGAACTAGAACTGACTAGAACTGAACTAGAACTGAACTAGAACTGAACTAGAACTGAACTAGAACTGAACTGAATGAACTAGAACTGAACTAGAACTGAACTAGAACTGAACTAGAACTGAACTAGAACTGAACTAGAACTGAACTAGAACTGAACTAGAACTGACTGAACTAGAACTGAACTAGAACTGAACTAGAACTGAACTAGAACTGAACTAGAACTGAACTAGAACTGAACTAGAACTGAACTAGAACTGAACTAGAACTGAACTAGAACTGAACTAGAACTGAACTAGAACTGAACTAGAACTGAACTAGAACTGAACTAGAACTGAACTAGAACTGAACTAGAACTGAACTAGAACTGAACTAGAACTGAACTAGAACTGACAACTAGACTGAACTAGAACTGAACTAGAACTGAACTAGAACTGAACTAGAACTGAACTAGAACTGAACTAGAACTGAACTAGAACTGAACTAGAACTGAACTAGAACTGAACTAGAACTGAACTAGAACTGAACTAGAACTGAACTAGAACTAGAACTGAACTAGAACTGAACTAGAACTGAACTAGAACTGAACTAGAACTGAACTAGAACTGAACTAGAACTGAACTAGAACTGAACTAGAACTGAACTAGAACTGAACTAGAACTGAACTAGAACTGAACTAGAACTGAACTAGAACTGAACTAGAACTGAACTAGAACTGAACTAGAACTGAACTAGAACTGAACTAGAACTGAACTAGAACTGAACTAGAACTGAACTAGAACTGAACTAGAACTGAACTAGAACTGAACTAGAACTGAACTAGAACTGAACTAAACTGAACTAGAACTGAACTAGAACTGAACTAGAACTGAACTAGAACTGAACTAGAACTGAACTAGAACTGAACGAAAAAAAAAAAAAAAAAAAAAAAAGAAAACTAGAAACTGAACTAGAACTGAACTAGAACTGAACTAGAACTGAACTAGAACTGAACTAGAACTGAACTGAACTAGAACTGAACTAGAACTGAACTAGAACTGAACTAGAACTGAACTAGAACTGAACTAGAACTGAACTAGAACTGAACTAGAACTGAACTAGAACTGAACTAGAACTAGAACTGAACTAGAACTAGAACTGAACTAGAACTGAACTAGAACTGAACTAGAACTGAACTAGAACTGAACTAGAACTGAACTAGAACTGAACTAGAAACTGAACTAGAACTGAACTAGAACTGAACTAGAACTGAACTAGAACTGAACTAGAACTGAACTAGAACTGAACTAGAACTGAACTAGAACTGAACTAGAACTGAACTAGAACTGAACTAGAACTGAACTAGAACTGAACTAGAACTGAACTAGAACTGAACTAGAACTGAACTAGAACTGAACTAGAACTGAACTAGAACTAGAACTGAACTAGAACTGAACTAGAATGAACTAGAACTGAACTAGAACTGAACTAGAACTGAACTAGAACTGAACTAGAACTGAACTAGAACTGAACTAGAACTGAACTAGAACTGAACTAGAACTGAACTAGAACTGAACTAGAACTGAACTAGAACTGAACTAGAACTAAACTAGAACTGAACTAGAACTAGAACTAAACTAGAACTGAACTAGAACTGAACTAGAACTGAACTAGAACTGAACTAGAACTGAACTAGAACTGAACTAGAACTGAACTAGAACTGAACTAGAACTGAACTAGAACTGAACTAGAACTGAACTAGAACTGAACTAGAACTGAACTAGAACTGAACTAGAACTGAACTAGAACTGAACTAGAACTGAACTAGAACTGAACTAGAACTGAACTAGAACTGAACTAGAACTGAACTAGAACTGAACTAGAACTGAACTAGAACTGAACTAGAACTGAACTAGAACTGAACTAGAACTGAACTAGAACTGAACTAGAACTGAACTAGAACTGAACTAGAACTGAACTAGAACTGAACTAGAACTGAACTAGAACTGAACTAGAACTGAACTAGAACTGAACTAGAAGTAGAACGGTGGACTTCCAAACAAGCGAAATTTTGGAACCAAGTTCAAATCCACCGAAGTCGTCATATTTTTAGTTTTCCGCACACTTTATTAAATTTATCAATAGTCATAATTTTAATAAAATTTCCATAAAACTTACAAGTTCTTCCATTTGGCAAACACGTCCCTAGTGACATCATTGGAGCGACCTTCATAAACTATAGGGGGATAAATTAAAAAACAAAAAAAAAATAAAACTTATATGAAAACAACAGAATAAACATTATAAATCTTACCTTTTTTACGACTTGATTGATAATTTGTTTGATTTCCATTTTATTAGAAGATTTTTTACTTTGTTTCTTTCTACCCTTTTTACCATAATCAGCAGCATCATCATAATCATTATCCTCCTCGCTAGCTTCAAAATCAACTTCATTTTCATCAACACCTTCGGATAGATCATTATCATCGGAAGATTGTTCATCATCGGTTTTTAAATTACAATCCGAATCATCGGATTTCCTACGTCCTCCCTTGTGACTTTTTATTACATGTTCAACGGCTTCTTTTTCAGTTTTAAATGCTCGCCGACGACAGAAATTACAAAAATACCCCGATTTTATATGTTTACAATTTTTTATATGATCAGATAATTCTTTTAAATCGTTGCTACTAAATTTACAACGTTTCTTTGGACAGACGGCCTTGCCCAAATTTTTAATATCTTGAGACCACTTTTTAGTGATGTTTTCTTCATCTAATGGTGCCACATATCTAATGCGTGATTTCGGATCGATGTCCGTTTTATCGTTTTTAGTAGTGTCCCCTACTTTTTCCAACTCCTCCCCCAAAACTTTAAGTTTATTTTCAGCTTTAATTGTGGAGTTTCGTTTTAAGCGACCCGTGTTACCAAAAACTTCTTCATGTTTATCAATATTTTCTTCTAATTTGTTATCGTTTGATGGATGTTCAAGTGCAATTTTAGCATAGCAAGATCGCACGTGAATTGGCAGTGTGGATGGCGCATAATCCCTTTTACAATATTCACATATAACACGTTCAATTTGTGCACCACATGACTCGATATGTGTTAACATACCCAAGCCGGAACGATATTCCTTTTTACACATGCGACAAGCCAGACCTTTTGATCCGGTCTTTTTCAAATAATTAAGAATGCAATTAAAACACGGAACGGTTTTCTACATTCTAAAAATATTTAAAATAAATAAATTAGTTAGTAAATAATAATTTAGTTCTAGTTCCAGTCAATTCTAGTCCAGTTCTAGTTCAGTTCTAGTTCAGTTCTAGTTTCAGTTCAGTTTCTAGTTCAGTTTCTAGTTCAGTTTCTAGTTCAGTTCTAGTTCCAGTTCTAGTTCAATTCTACTAGGTCAAGTTCCTAGTTCAGTTCTAGTTCAGTTCCTAGTTCTTGTTCATTGTCTAGTTCAGTTCTAGTTCAGTTCTAGTTCAGTTCTAGTTCAGTTCGAGTTCAGTCTAGTTCAGTTCTAGTTCAGTGCTAGTTCAGTTCTAGTTCAGTTCTAGTTCAGTTCTAGTTCAGTTCTAGTTCAGTTCAGTTCAGTCTTAGTTCAGTTCTAGTTCAGTTCTAGTTCAGTTCTAGTTCAGTCTAGTTCAGTTCTAGTTCAGTTCTAGTTGCAGTTCTATGTCAGTTCTAGTTCAGTTCTAGTTCAGTTCTAGTCAGTTCTAGTTCAGTTCTAGTTCATTAGTTTAGTTCTAGTTCAGTTCTAGTTCAGTTCTAGTTCAGTTCTAGTTCAGTTCTAGTTCAGTTCTAGTTCAGTTCTAGTTCAGTTCTAGTTCAGTTCTAGTTCAGTTCTAGTTCAGTTCTAGTTCAGTTCTAGTTCAGTTCTAGTTCAGTTCTAGTTCAGTTCTAGTTCAGTTCTAGTTCAGTTCTAGTTCAGTTCTAGTTCAGTTCTAGTTCAGTTCTAGTTCAGTTCTAGTTCAGTTCTAGTTCAGTTCTAGTTCAGTTCTAGTTCAGTTCTAGTTCAGTTCAGTCTTCTAGTTCAGTTCTAGTTCAGTTCTAGTTCAGTTCTAGTTCAGTTCTAGTTCAGTTCTAGTTCAGTTCTAGTTCAGTTCTAGTTCAGTTCTAGTTCAGTTCTAGTCAGTTCTAGTTCAGTTCTAGTTCAGTTCTAGTTCAGTTCTAGTTCAGTTCTAGTTCAGTTCTAGTTCAGTTCTAGTTCAGTTCTAGTTCAGTTCTAGTTCAGTTCTAGTTCAGTTCTAGTTCAGTTCTTAGTTCAGTTCTAGTTCAGTTCTAGTTCAGTTCTAGTTCAGTTCTAGTTCAGTTCTAGTTCAGTTCTAGTTCAGTTCTAGTTCAGTTCTAGTTCAGTTCTAGTTCAGTTCTAGTTCAGTTCTAGTTCAGTTCTAGTTCAGTTCTAGTTCAGTTCTAGTTCAGTTTCTAGTTCAGTTCTAGTCAGTTCTAGTTCAGTTCTAGTTCAGTTCTAGTTCAGTTCTAGTAGTTCAGTTCTAGTTCAGTTCTAGTTCAGTTCAGTTAAGTTCTAGTTCAGTTCTAGTTCAGTTCTTCAGTTCTAGTTCAGTTCTAGTTCAGTTCTAGTTCAGTTCTAGTTCAGTTCTAGTTCAGTTAGTTCTAGTATAGTTCAGTTCTAGTTCAGTTCTAGTTCAGTTCTAGTTCAGTCTAGTTCAGTTCTAGTTCAGTTCTAGTTCATTCTAGTTCAGTTCTAGTCGTTTAGTTCAGTTCTAGTTCAGTTCTAGTTCAGTTCTAGTTCAGTTCTAGTTCAGTTCTAGTTCCGTTCTAGTTCAGTTCTAGTTCAGTTCTAGTTCAGTTCTAGTTCAGTTCTAGTTCAGTTCTAGTTCAGTTCTAGTTCCGTTCTAGTTCAGTTCTAGTTCCGTTCTAGTTCAGTTCTAGTTCAGTTCTAGTCAGTCTAGTTCAGTTCTAGTTCAATTCTATTGTCTAAACTTACCAACATCTCTTGGCCATCTTGCCAGCCTACACCATAATGTTCCGCTAAATGTAACGTCCATTTAGAAGTGCGATTCAAACAAAGACCACATTTATGGGTCCACTTCCTATATTAGATCCAGTTAAAACCTCTTCTGTGTCGAGTTGTTCTCTTTTTGTTATTAGCAATAGACGAGAATTAAAATTGCATTCTGCAAAGTTTTTTCGGTTTTCTACCTGCTCTTGGTCTTGGAGTCTCATTTTTAACCAGTGCTAAACGTGGAGTTGTTATAGGTGTTAAATTATCTATATTATTTTCTTTGCCATTGTCTTTCTTAAGAGGTGTTGCTGTAGAATCACTGTCAGAATCTTCAATTTTAAGTTTTCGTTTTGGATGATTTTTTTGCGAACGTTTTTTGCCGAATGGTGTGGGTATCTCATCGTCAGATGAATCCGTACTTAAGGATCTCTTTAATGCCCTCACTACTGAAGTTTTTGGTGTGTCTTTTAAGTTATCTTCAATCGTGGGCGTATTAGATATTTGTTCAGTCTTCACTTTAGTTTTTCCCGCTTTTTTCTTGCTCGTTTTATTTTGTGGTGTTTTAATAGTTGATGTTTCCGGAATAGTTGTGGAAATATCTTCTTGTTTTGAAAGTTTAGGGGTGTTAATTTCATTTTTTGAATCTTTTGATGATTTTTTTGTTGACTTATCTTTGTTCTTGGAATTATCAAGCTCGTCGTGCTTTTCTGTAATGTCCAACTTTTGTTCCATATCATCATCTGTCGTGTGTTTGGATTTCAAACTCTTTGCCCTTTTACTTTTCGATTCATTAGATTCAAAGCTTTGGCTTTTGTGACTTATATCTATGTTTTCCGCTTTTTCTTTGGATTTCAAAATTTCGGAGTCTTGCGAGTCCTTTTTAGGTGTTAAACCTTTGCCTGTTGCTTTCTCTAGATCTTTGTTGATGTTATGATTACTATCCACCGTACTTTTAGACTTTAATGGTGATGTTTCTGTGCTATTAGGGCAATCGGAGCTAGAATTATTGGCTTTCAGAGAATTGTCTGCATCTTTATCTTTAGTTTTAGATTGCAAACGTTTCGATCCTCCTGCTTCTTGATTATCAGAGTCAGACTCCTTAGCATATTCTAAGCTTTTATCTTCAGTATTCTTAATAACTCTCTCTTGAGACTTGTGTTGTCTCGTTTCAGTTTTATCTTGACAATCAGAGTCTATTGCAAAATTCCCGGAATGTTTTTCTATAGTTTTGTCATTTCTTCTAACTTTGGGTGGCATACGTCTTGTGTCTTTGCCTCGATGCCTATCGGACTCAGTACCAGAAGTTTCATTTAATTTATCCACATCTTTGACCTGACATCTAGAACGTCTGGAAGTTCTACGCTCTGGGTTATCCGAATCTGTTGCAGAAGTTTCATTTACAGTTTCCCCAACTTGGAATTTTTCGGAATCGTGGTCTGAATTTTTTGAATTAGCACTAGTTGCTAAGTTTTCTTGAAAATTTCTTATCCTAAGTCTTGTCTGTGATGTTTTTGTAGATCTTTCATCATGACTTTCGGAATCTGTACCAGAATTTTTCGACATTGTACGTAAATGTCGAGGTTTAATAAATCTATGTTCGGGCGTTTTCTCTAATGTTTCATCTAATTTTAGTTTCTTACTGTCTAATAGTTCCTTATTACTATCAATCACATTTTTAATGCCACGTTTATATTTTCTAATAGTTGTTATCTGTTCAGCAGCACTCTCATCTTCATCATCAGCTGGTGATGTATCATCGGTAATATCAGTCTCTTCATGGCGATTGCTAGTTAGATCCCAACGTTTTTTGAATGGTTTTAGACCTCCACTAGCACTACTTCGAGTTCTTGCGGGTAATTCATCATCATGCCGTATTCTTTCGGTTATGTGCTCTTCCTCTAACGTTGGTGCTATGGCCTTACCAGTAGTAAGCCAATTTTTCATAGTGCTACCTTTGGTTTTTGCCAGTTTATCGTTAGTCTCCTTTTGCTTATTAGTTGTTGGAGTATTTTTAAAACTTGTATCATTATTTTCTTCAAATCCCAAAAATGCACTACCCTCCTCACAATCTTTCAGACAGGAATCATCAAAATCACGCTCATCCTCGGAATCGGTATCCGTATGAGACTTTTGCGATTTCTTAATATCTTCCAAAGTTTTACGCAACTTTTTACGCTGTCTGGTGGGTGTTAATTTGTTAGAATCTTGTGTACTATCATGGCAAGAATCTTCAGTATCCAAAGGTTTTTAAACGATTTAAGGGACTAGAAACATTGGCAGTTGTATCAGACTTTAAGGCATCGAAACTAATTGTAACATTTGTTTCCAACGTCTGAGAATAATAACGTGTACGTTTAGTTGAAGGAGAGGAATGCTTGGATAAATCCATTTCCAATGGCTTGGAATAAAGACGTGTTCTGCGGTTGGTAAGCGTGGAAGTGGAAGTGGGTGTTGTTATGTCATTTGTAGCTGCATCAGGTGTTTTATCCTTTTCGCTGCTCGATTTCGATTTAGAAAGTTTAAATTTAACTTCTGCATTTACGGGTAAAAATTCCAAGTCGTCATCACTTATAAGCGGTCTAGTGGAATGTCTTTTTCTCGAGTTGCCTGCTGGTTTTGCAGCTGTGGTGGTTGCGATAATAGTTTTTTCATTTAAACTTAATCTTGTACATCTTTTGCTGTGTACAATGGTAGCATTTTGATTTTCATCATTAACTTTTGTTAAACTTCTTCTATTAACTTTTACACTAGTTTCTGGTGCTTCTGCAGTTTCCTTAGTTTTATCTTCTTCTGGTTCTTCAACTTCCTTATCTTTATTATGACTCTTCAGTTGTTTTATTAAAGTTTTAATGCCTTTAGTTTCATTTTCTGGATCCTTAGTTTCAGGTGTTTTCTTTTTAAAAGGTATCACTGGTTTGAGTTCGGGCGTTTTTATCGGGGAATGTTTTACTATGTCTATAAGCGATACTTTAGCATTTCTCATGCTCTTTAAGATATTTCTAGATCCCTGATCTAAATCTTCATTTTTATTGACTTGTTTTTGCTTTGCAATATTTCCATATGAAATATTTTCAATATTATCTTGAATTTCATTAATTTCAATTAAGTTTTCATTAGTTTCGGCAGCATTAGACTCTTCATCGTGCTGTTTGTGGTGACATAAAGTTTGTTCGAGTGTTGTATTAACAGCCTCATCTTGCTGAAGTTTTGTACTTCTGCTTTCTTCATGATTAGTGTCTACTGTTTTAGATTCTTTGGCTTGTTCTTGCTCTAAAGCTTCTTCTGTCTCCTTAACTGTTTCAAAATCTAGTTTTCTGGCTATATTCTGAGGAGACTTTTGAGGCGTTGAAATTTCCGAGATTTCACTTGATTTTGGTAGCTTCTCGGGACTTTTGCTGACATTTTCAAGTTCATTGCTAACTTCAGAATTCGTAGCTTGTACCTTTTCAGGTGTAACTTCAGAAATATCTGGTAAATGATCTCCTTCATCTTGAGTTTTGCGCTTTTGTGGAGATTTAGCATCTTTCTGTTTAGTTTCCGCTATTAAAGTGTTTTTATCAGGACTTCTAGGGGCTGTATCTGAAGACATGTCTGTAGGTGTTGCTTCATTTATAACCTCCCTGTTTTCTAATGTTTTAGCTGAATCATTTGTCATACCTTCAGTAACTGTTGGTTTATTGGTAGAGTCTTCAGATTTGTCGATGTTTTTATTAGAAGTTTCTACTTTTTCCTGGTTCTCTTTATCAGCAGTAGTTTTGGTTACATTTGATTCCGACTCATTATGTTTATCTGCAATTTGGGAGGTTGGTTTTCCTTCAAGTAATATTTCTTCTCCTTGTTGAAGTTGTGCGGATTTTGTTGACGTGTTAGCGCTACTTTTAGTTGGACTTCGATCTGATTTTATCGATTCTTGATTAACTTCTGCCTCTTCTGCTCTCTTCTCCTCTTTAGCTGGTTCATCTAGAGGTTCTTTAGACTTACTTTCATGATCAACTTTGTTATCATTATCCACAGTTGGTGGTTTATTTGTACTTTGAGCTGGAGCTTTATTACGTTGCACCAAATTGATTTTACCCTTTTTAAAGCGGGATATACGTTTTGTAGTTACCGCGGTAGAGGAGATTGATGCTGTTGCAGCTTCACTTGTCTTTGTAGCCTCAGATTCCATGGAAGTTTGTTGAATATTGGAGCTCTTTACGGAATTATCTGCTTCTGCAGGTTTTGTTATTAAAGTCTCCTTAGAGGCTGTCGAGTTAGAATTATCTTTCTGTAGGTCTACATCTATTATGGGAGATTTTAATATAGATTTCAAATTTGTTACTTTTAGAGGAGAGGAGTGAGCAATTGTTTCAGCTTTTGAGGCTTTTGATTCCTTCAATTGTGTTTCTTCAGTTGAGGATTTGCTGGTAACTGTAATCTCTTTTGGTTCCTCAACTTTATCACTCGATTTTGTTGGTATAATTGTAAGATTCGTTGCTACTTCTTTAGAAGTGGTCAAATCATTAGATTGTTTACTTGCAGTTTCATTAACTTTTGTTAAGTTATTGTCTTCATTTGAGGATTTCGTTGCCAAAGTTTGAGCTTTCCTAGGACTATTCAACTTTTTAGGGGAAGCTAATTTATTCGCATTCAAATTCTCACCCTCTTTCCCTTGTGAAACTTGTGAAATTATTAGTTTTATTTTATTTGGATCACTGGCTACTATAACATTTGTTAAATCTATATTTTTAGGCTCTTTCAGAGGCTCTAAAACCAAATGCTGCTGTTTACGAGAATCAGAAGTTTCTTCACTCTTATTGTCCTCCGGTTTTTCTATATCCATATCACACATACCCATATTATTTAAAAGCTTAACCTTTTGCAAAGCTCCATACTTATTGGGACTCTCATTGGTTAATATTGTCTCGGGTCCCTTAGAACTTTCTATCACTATAGTGCTCATTTGTTCAGGATTTGTGGCGTAAGCTTTGAAAGTAGCTGATGTGGTTCGGTGACGTTGTGGTGGATAGGATTGTATGCGTAAAGGTGAAAAATTATTCATGGTACAAGAAGCATTTAGATTAAGCTCTTCCGGAGATAATTCTAAACTAGTTTCCTCTGTTATGGGATTGGTATTGTTGAGGGCTGTTATGAAATCTACAGCCGAAAAACAATCCTCAGTTTCCATAGGTTCATCGATAATTTCTACAGCCGATTGGCGATAATCAGAAAAGCTAGAATCTATATAAGTAGAAGCTTCAAAGTTTGCCGAGTCACAAGAATCTTCTTGTGTTTTATCATTAATATCCAAAGTTTTAGGTTCTTCTTTAACTTGTATCAAACTAATATCCGCAGATTTGTTTGAGTCCGTTTCAGTGTTCTCAGTTGAAACTTTATTCGGTGATTTTAAATCACATTCTTTGTTTAAGAAACTTTTTGCTGCAATATTTGGTTGAACATAATTTTGTTTCGATTTTAACTGATAGTTATGATCTGTATAGTTTGCTTTATTGTTTATTATATGATTGTTATTGGATGTTGAAATTTCTGAATTAGTTTTTTCTGTTGCGGTATTTTTAGGCAAAACATAGGCTGCATGTTTGCTACTAAGCGGTGTTAAAACTTTTCTTATACCGGCCTTAGTATTAAGTATGCGCATATCTGAGGGTTTATTTTCTTGTTTGGAGGCCGGTGATGTGGCCGGTGATGTGGCCGCTGTTCTGGCCTTTATCTTTTTGGCCAAATCTGCCAACTGTTCCGGAGGCAATTTAAGTTTTTGGGCATTTATAATGATTTTTTTATTGGGACCATTAGTTATAACCACTTTATCGCAAGGCTTTCCCTTGTTATCTGTTGTTATTTCTGGAGGTATTTCAATTTGGTTTAATGTTGTTTCCTGGTTAGTATTTAGCGCCGAAGGAGGAGTATTTGTGGCTGGATACTCATCAGCTTTTTCTTGTTTTATAACCAGTTCCGGTATGGGTTTATGGGGATTAATAAAACGTGGTGTATTACTGTTAGACAAGCGTAGTTCGGTCAAATCTATCATTTCATCTTGTGAAAGAATTTTATTTTCCAAAACAATTAAACAATTAGCATTAGGAGAGTTGTTAGACTCTGCCTCCGTTTGCACAACATTTTCATTTGCCTCTAGCGCATTAGTCAGTATATTATTGTTGATTAGTGATGTTGAATTGGCCTGGGTATACAAGGACTCATAGTTGCTGTTTATATAGTCCGTTGGTGGTAAAATTTTATGTAAATTTTGATTTTGTGCCTGCAAATCATAGTAGGCAGCTGCATTAACCAAAGGATAAGGCTTTTTAAAGGAGTCTATGGTCGGCAAAGGTGTTTCCTTAGGTACATTAACTGTAGGAAATGGTGTTTTAAGTGGAGAAACTTCTGGAAAGTCTATCTTTTGTTCCGATTGTTTAAGTTGTTTATAACTATAAGGTAAATAGGAGTATTGTTGGCTACTATTACCCGCCTTTATGGCGGCTTTGGGTATTTCACTGTAGTCACTTGTTGTTGAACTTTTGGGCTGATAAGTTATTCTCTGTTGTTTTAAATATTCACTTTGATAATCCGGCGCCATATTTGTTATGGGAAAATGTGTTTTTGTGGGCATATTATGGGAATAGTCTGTTCTATGTTCTAGATTTTGGAAATAACGTATATTTTGGGCTGTTTGTAAAGGCGATTGATTATAGTTAGATTTTGCTGAGGTTGCTGCTGCTGCATTAGCTGCCATATAGGGAGTTCTTAGAGGAATCACATCAGTTGAGTTTGGAATTATAAGACTTTGTTCTGCGTGCTGGAAAAATCTAAAGTTAGGTGTTGTATTAGTATCTAAGCTAGTGATTGGTGATTGCTGCTGTCCAGTTTTTATGGTGGCTTTGGGAATTTTGTTTATATCCTTAGTTTGTGTGGAGAAATCTGTGGCCATATTGGTTGTTGTAGGAGACATTTTATCCTGAGAGTTTAGCTTAAGTCCAGTGGGTTCGTAAGGTCTAAAACCTGGTGTATTATTATCGGTCTGCTGTTGATGCTGTCCTGCCTTTATGGCAGCTTTTGGTATTACATTTGTGGCTCCATGTTGTGCCTTTAAAGCCGTGATATCCGTGTCAATTTTATTCGCATCATTTCCATAATAGGGTGCTGTTTTAACTGCCACTTTATCTGTCATATTGAACTTTATATAAGTTCTTTTTGCCGGCTGTTGATGTGTTATTTTCAATTCCTCCTCCATTTGGAAATCTAATTTTCGGGCTATATCTTGAGGAGATTTTTGAGGAGTTTTAGTTTTGTATGGCTTTAAGGGAGGGGTCGATATTTCTGGTTCTTTTAAAACAGTATAACCTCTGGGATCTGTTGCTGATGAGCGGTTAGGTGTGTCTTTCTTGGCACTTAATGGTTTCATGGGTAATTTTGGTCCTAAAGGACTTGAGGCCGTTATAGGGCTGCCCGTTAAGGGTGCTGGTGGTTTTAAATGTATATACATTTTAGGTTTGTCATTATTTGGTGAGTTTTTCTTTTCCATTAACTTTTTATTTAGTAAATTTTTAACATGCACTAAACGTTGTTGGGAATTTAAACCAGCCAATTCAGGTGTATCCAATTCTGGTTGTGGATCCGGTGCCGTTATGGTAATTTTTGGTGGTATTATATTTTTAGCCAGTAATAAAGGTTTAGCTGTTTAAAATTAATAGAAAAATATATATAAAACATTAAATAAAAAAACTAACGGCCACAGGTATTGAACCTGGATATTCAAAACATCTCCCCCTACTAGTAAAGTGTATAACTTGCCATCAACCCTTTGCCACACTGAGCTAAATTAGTGTAACATAATTGTTAGTTAAATGTAGCATAATTGAAAACATTATTTTGATATTTAAACAAATATTTTTAAAATTCTTCTCACACTTATAGGTTGATTCTTTTTATAAAGTCCTAACACGTTTTTTCAACTAAATTGCAACTCTGCTAATTTTATTTATATAACTATAGCGCAAATCAACCCTCTGAATATTTAACAAGTTTCGAACTTGGATTTTTAAAGTTATGTCTAAATTTTGTCTTCCTAACCAACCGCTTAACCATCGCAGCTAAAACGCCTTGTTTAATTTAGTGTCCAATGTTTCATTTAAACTTGGCTGTTCATTTAATTATTTAGTTAATTTTTGCAATTGTGTTATGTAATTAAACTTATTAAATTTATTTAAGGAGTTTTTGATAAAAATTGTTGGCAAATCTTTTATTATTTTAAATGTTTTCAAAATATTTAAAATTTAAATATTTGCAATATTCTTTATTTTAATATAAATCATTTGAAAGCTAATTAAAATTTAAAAGGTCAAAGGTCACACCATGGAGTCTTAAAGGGTCAAAGGTCATAATAGACTAGACTATAGACTAGACTATAGACTAGACTATAGACTAGACTATAGACTAGACTATAGACTAGACTATAGACTAGACTAGACTAGACTAGACCAGACTAGACTAGACTATAGACTAGACTATAGACTAGACTATAGACTAGACTATAGACTAGACTATAGACTATAGACTAGACTATAGACTAGACTATAGACTAGACTATAGACTAGACTATAGACTAGACTATAGACTAGACTATAGACTAGACTATAGACTAGACTATAGACTAGACTATAGACTAGACTATAGACTAGACTATAGACTAGACTATAGACTAGACTATAGACTAGACTATAGACTAGACTATAGACTAGACTATAGACTAGACTATAGACTAGACTATAGACTAGACTATAGACTAGACTATAGACTAGACTATAGACTAGACTATAGACTAGACTATAGACTAGACTATAGACTAGACTATAGACTAGACTATAGACTAGACTATAGACTAGACTATAGACTAGACTATAGACTAGACTATAGACTAGACTATAGACTAGACTATAGACTAGACTATAGACTAGACTATAGACTAGACTATAGACTAGACTATAGACTAGACTATAGACTAGACTATAGACTAGACTATAGACTAGACTATAGACTAGACTATAGACTAGACTATAGACTAGACTATAGACTAGACTATAGACTAGACTATAGACTAGACTATAGACTAGACTATAGACTAGACTATAGACTAGACTATAGACTAGACTATAGACAAGACTATAGACTAGACTATAGACTACACTATAGACTAGACTATAGACTAGACTATAGACTACACTATAGACTAGACTATAGACGACTATAGACTAGACTATAGACTACACTATAGACTAGACTATAGACTAGACTATAGACTAGACTATAGACTAGACTATAGACTAGACTATAGACTAGACTATAGACTAGACTATAGACTAGACTATAGACTAGACTATAGACTAGACTATAGACTAGACTATAGACTAGACTATAGACTAGACTATAGACTAGACTATAGACTAGACTATAGACTAGACTATGAGACTAGACTATAGACTAGACTATAGACTAGACTATAGACTAGACTATAGACTAGACTATAGACTAGACTATAGACTAAACTATAGACTAGACTATAGACTAGACTATAGACTAGACTATAGACTAGACTATAGACTAGACTATAGACTAGACTATAGACTAGACTATAGACTAGACTATAGACTCGACTATAGACTAGACTATAGACTAGACTATAGACTAGACTATAGACTAGACTATAGACTACTCTATAGACTAGACTATAGACTAGACTATAGACTAGACTATAGACTAGACTATAGACTAGACTATAGACTAGACTATAGACTAGACTATAGACTAGACTATAGACTAGACTATAGACTAGACTATAGACTAGACTAGACTAGACTATAGACTAGACTATAGACTAGACTATAGACTAGACTATAGACTAGACAATAGACTATAGACTAGACTATAGACTAGACTATAGACTAGACTATAGACTAGACTATAGACTAGACTATAGACTAGACTATAGACTAGACTATAGACTAGACTATAGACTAGACTATAGACTAGACTATAGACTAGACTATAGACTAGACTATAGACTAGACTATAGACTAGACTATAGACTAGACTATAGACTAGACTATAGACTAGACTATAGACTAGACTATAGACTAGACTATAGACTAGACTATAGACTAGACTATAGACTAGACTATAGACTAGACTATAGACTAGACTATAGACTAGACTATAGACTAGACTATAGACTAGACTATAGACTAGACTATAGACTAGACTATAGACTAGACTATAGACTAGACTATAGACTAGACTATAGACTAGACTATAGACTAGACTATAGACTAGACTATAGACTAGACTATAGACTAGACTATAGACTAGACTATAGACTAGACTATAGACTAGACTATAGACTAGACTATAGACTAGACTATAGACTAGCTATAGACTAGACTATAGACTAGATGATAGACTAGACTATAGACTAGACTATCGACTAGACTATAGGACTAAGACACTATAAGACTGAATTTACTCTAATATCGAATAATTTTAATAAATACAAGAATTGAAAATGATCTACAAGGATCAATTGAAATCATACATAACTACATATTTTTATTTTTTTCAATTGCAATCATACATAACAAATTTTGTTTTAAATGTTGCAGAAAACACAACCACAGAAACATAGAAAGACTTTAATGTGACATATGTATAATAATCTAGTAACGTTACAGGAGCTCTACTAGTCTAGGTAAACCAGAACTACAAAAATATATAATACTGGCGGTTGGAAGGATGTAACTTTATGCGGGTTGTATGTATATACGTCTTAACGAAACCTTTTTATCGATTTACAAATTAATACAGTTGTTAGGTTATAAAATTGTTTATCTTTTTTAAGGACCAACAAAATTGATGACTCATTAATAAATTTGTGAGGTTGTAATAAAACTGATCCAATGAAAATATGTTAAAAAACTCCTTTTAAAACATTTCTAAACAAAATTAAACAAACAAATCATTAAAAAATATCTAAGCCCTGACTGGGTATCGAACTTAGGTTGTAGTAACAAAAAGTTAATACACTAACCACGCAGCTATTAAAGCATACGCGAAATGGGCTGCCAATTTCAAACATACCACAAATTTTACATAAAAAATTTAACAAAAAAATCTTACAATAAAATCATATCAATTGTATTAACTAAATGTAAACAAAAATATTGTAATAAATAATAAAAGAAAATAAAAACAAAATTACCTGGTGAAGGTTGTTCTTCAGTATTTAAAGGTTTTGTTTGTAGTTTCACTGTATTTGTTACATTTGTAGCGGCCACAGAGGAAACTGTGGGAGTTACTTTTGTTTGGTTATTTAAAATGCGATTTGTTGTTTTATTAGGGGCCTGCAGGGACTTTTGTTTACTTAAGGCTTCTGCTATTTTACGATCTAAACCGGCCTGTTGTAATTTTTTCGGATCAATAGGGGTTATTTTGCGTATAACACGCTTTTGAGAGCCACCGGTAGGTGTTGCAGGCAGATTACTACTGGTTGTAACAGGACTCGGAGTCTCTGTTGGATTTACACCAGGTGTTACTTGACGTATTATACGCTTGATGGGGGCATTAGCCGTAGTAGTCAAACAATTACTTTCGTTGCTTACAGCAGGTCCTGAAACAGCTTCTGCATTAGGCTTGGAGCTGCTATTAGATACTACAGCTGTTGTGGCATTGTTGGCTTCAGAGCCAGCTTCATTAGCTGTACTAGGTAACACACTGGAGGCTACCTCACTGCTGTCATTTGTAGCAGTGGGATTCATTTTGAAAAACTTTCTTTTACACTATTTATTTCTTTTTAATAAAACTTATTTTTTTTTTCATTTACAACAACTGCCTATTAATTTACATCATTTTTTTCACATTTTGTTTCTTCTATATCATTTTCTTTTCACACACACTGCAGGCAGACACCATCAATAACGACGTCATTGAGACGCGTGCTTTTTTTCTTTAATTATTTCTTTGCCTTTTATTTTATTTCTTAGTTAAAATTTTCTTCAAATTGTATACAATTTTAAATAAATTTTCAATTTTAACACTTTTTTTGTAAAATAAATTTGTTTTATTTGCAAAATTTTGCAAATTTGTTCTGCTTATAGAAGCACACCTCGTTTTACAGATTTCTTTTCATAGATTTTTTGTCAAAGAATTTATTTTTAACCACATTTTGACAGCTAGTTGCGAAATAGGGTGATGCCCAACTTCTTATATATGTATATTAATCTAAAACAGTTTAAGCGTTTTTAGTGCAAAGATTTTTATTTTTTAAAGCTTTCAATACTTAAAAATTATGTTATATTATATTTTTATTAAAATTTTAATCATAAACTTCCCTATTAATACAATTGTCTTTAGAAACAAAACTAATTTGCTTCAAATCACTTGTATGAGTAAGCGTTTTTTTAAACAGGACTGTTAGGTTTCAATGTCAATCATTTAAACAAAAATCCTCTGGCAACTTTATGCAACTTGACGAAAACGTTTATTTATGTGTTAACATCTACCAGTGAATTACCAAACATCAAAAAGCAGCAAACGAAGAAAATTTGAGCATTTTTAACAAATTTCCACAGATTTTTAGGTAAAAACTTGTAATAAATAATAAAATATTAACAATTAACCACAAATTTTGTATATTTAGCATAAAACCTCCACAATGGATTTTCAAAATCGTGCCGGTGGTAAAACCGGTAGCGGTGGTGTGGCCTCCTGGTCGGAAACCAATCGTGATCGTAAAGAACGTTTACGCCAGTTGGCTTTGGAAACTATAGATCTCAATAAAGATCCCTATTTCATGAAAAATCATTTGGGTTCCTACGAGTGTAAACTTTGCTTAACCCTACACAACAATGAAGGCTCCTATCTGGCCCATACACAGGGTAAAAAACATCAAGAAAATTTGGCTCGTCGTGCTGCCAAAGAAGCCAAGGAGGCACCCTCTATGATGGCTCCTGAAAAGCCTCGAGTTGAACCCAAGAAATTCGTGAAAATTGGTCGTCCTGGTTATAGGGTCACCAAACAGCGTGATCCCAACAATGGCCAACAGTCTTTGCTTTTCCAAATCGATTATCCCGAAATCACCGAGGGTGTCATACCCCGCCATCGCTTTATGTCGGCTTATGAGCAAAAAATCGAACCACCAGATCGTAAATGGCAATATTTACTCTTTGCTGCTGAGCCTTATGAAACCATAGGTTTTAAGGTACCCTCCCGTGAGGTGGAGAAAACCGAAGGCAAATTTTGGACTCATTGGAATCGTGATACCAAACAATTCTTTTTACAATTTTCCTTTAAATTGGAACCTAAAATTCTACCCCCACCACCACCCAGTCTACATCGTGCTATGGGTCCTCCTGGTGGCTTTCCTATGCCTGGTCCTCCACGTCATATGTTTAATGGTGTACCACCACCGCCACCAATGGGCGTTCTTCCCGTACCACCACCACCCATGTGAGAAGAGGCAAATTCTATTTCCCAGACGCAACAGCAGCAACAAAAACCGGGAAATGGAAATTAAATTTAATTTTTTTATTAAAATTCATAATATATTCATGATTCCGATTAAAGAAATATTTAAGAAAATTTTATGGTTTTATTATTGAGGGAGGAAAAAGAAAATTTATGGAAAAGTTGCTTGCAATTGCTACAAGTTTTCTATAGAAAATATGCTTGCAATTAGGACAACTTTTCTATAGAAAAGCTGCTTGCATTTAGAACAACTTCTCTATAGAAAAGTTACAGAAATTTTAAATTTTTTATAAGATCCACATTTACCCACTTATTTTAAATTAAAACATGAATTAAATTGCATTTAAATATTCTTTTATATTTTTCCATAATTTTATAGATTTTTTGTTTTTCTCTTAAATAGTATTTTACATTTTTATTTTTCATCTATAAATTAAAAAAATATTATATTTTTTCTTCTCTTTTTCTTAATTAAAATTAAAACTTACAATGAATTAATAATAATATTTAATTATTACATAAAAAAAGCTTAAGCTAAAGCTCTTGTTTTAAATATCAATTGTTTTAAAACGAAACTATATTCACAAGGTTTATTTGATATAATTGTTATTATTATTTGCAAAGCAATATGTAAACTTAATTAATTATTTAAACATACGTAGAGAATTAAATGTTTTCTGTTTTTTTTTAATAAAAGTCAAAGTATATTTTATTTATTAATATATAATAATAATAATAATAACAAGAAGCTTTAAAGTCTTAAAAAAGTTCAATCTATGATTGATCTCTCTCTATATATATGTATATGAATTTAGCCTTAATATAAATAAAAACAGAAAATAAAATAGAAAACTTTTTACAAGATTATTTTAAGAAAAACTTAATTTTGAGCAAGCTTTGAGAGAAAGTTTCGATTATTTAAAACGCCTAAACCTTTTCCCGTTTTTTATAATTACGTTTTGATGCACATCTATTAATAATATCCGAGACATGAGATTTATGTTCGAAAATTTTCATTATTTGATTTTGAGCATCACTAACGCCATCGACAATAATTTTGCTACGTTGCATGTTGCCCTGTATAAGAGAAAATATCAAGTTTTAGAGTAAAATTTTAATATGAAAAAGAAATATTGAGGATTACCTTTAATAAATCACTAATACGTTCGGTTTCTGTGGTTATGCCATTTGATTCCATTTGTTTTAGCATTGATGATAGTTTTTCATATCCCAAAGATTCATTTTCACACTGAAATTAAAAAAATTAATTATTGGAAATTTGTACTTTGATTAAAAGAAAATTTTATTCAAAAAAGTTGCTTGCAATTGCTACAAATTTTCTTTAGAAAAGTTGCTTGCAATTGCCACAAGTTTTCTTTAGAAAAGTTGCTGGCAATTGCCACAAGTTTTCTTTAGAAAAGTTGCTGGCAATTGCCACAAGTTTTCTTTAGAAAAGTTGCTGGCAATTGCCACAAGTTTTCTTTAGAAAAGTTGCTGGCAATTGCCACAAGTTTTCTTTAGAAAAGTTGCTGGCAATTGCCACAAGTTTTCTTTAGAAAAGTTGCTGGCAATTGCCACAAGTTTTCTTTAGATAAGTTGCTGGCAATTGCCACAAGTTTTCTTTAGAAAAGTTGCTGGCAATTGCCACAAGTTTTCTTTAGAAAAGTTGCTGGCAATTGCCACAAGTTTTCTTTAGAAAAGTTGCTGGCAATTGCCACAAGTTTTCTTTAGAAAAGTTGCTGGCAATTGCCACAAGTTTTCTTTAGAAAAGTTGCTGGCAATTGCCACAAGTTTTCTTTAGAAAAGTTCTAAAGAAAAGTTTTCTTTAGAAAAGTTGCTGGCAATTGCCACAAGTTCTCTTTAGAAAAGTTGCTGGCAATTGCCACAAGTTTTCTTTAGAAAAGTTGCTGGCAATTGCCACAAGTTTTCTTTAGAAAAGTTGCTGGCAATTGCCACAAGTTTTCTTTAGAAAAGTTGCTGGCAATTGCCACAAGTTTTCTTTAGAAAAGTTGCTGGCAATTGCCACAAGTTTTCTTTAGAAAAGTTGCTGGCAATTGCCACAAGTTTTCTTTAGAAAAGTTGCTGGCAATTGCCACAAGTTTTCTTTAGAAAAGTTGCTGGCAATTGCCACAAGTTTTCTTTAGGAAAGTTGCTGGCAATTGCCACAAGTTTTCTTTAGAAAAGTTGCTTGCAATTGCCACAAGTTTTCTTTAGAAAAGTTGCTGGCAATTGCCACAAGTTTTCTTTAGAAAAGTTGCTGGCAATTGCCACAAGTTTTCTTTAGAAAAGTTGCTGGCAATTGCCACAAGTTTTCTTTAGAAAAGTTGCTGGCAATTGCCACAAGTTTTCTTTAGAAAAGTTGCTGGCAATTGCCACAAGTTTTCTTTTGAAAAGTTGCTGGCAATTGCCACAAGTTTTCTTTAGAAAAGTTGCTGGCAATTGCCACAAGTTTTCTTTTGAAAAGTTGCTGGCAATTGCTACAAGTTTTCTTTAGAAAAGTTGCTTGCAATTGCTACAAGTTTTCTTTAGAAAAGTTGCTTGCAATTGCTACAAGTTTTCTTTAGAAAAGTTGCTTGCAATTGCTACAAGTTTTCTTTAGAAAAGTTGCTTGCAATTGCTACAAGTTTTCTTTAGAAAAGTTGCTTGCAATTGCTACAAGTTTTCTTTAGAAAAGTTGCTTGCAATTGCTACGAGGTTTCTTTAGAAAAGTTGCTGGCAATTGCTACAAGTTTTCTTTAGAAAAGTTGCTTGCAATTGCTACAAGTTTTCTTTAGAAAAGTTGCTGGCAATTGCTACAAGTTTTCTTTAGAAAAGTTGCTGGCAATTGCTACAAGTTTTCTTTAGAAAAGTTGCTGGCAATTGCCACAAGTTTTCTTTAGAAAAGTTGCTGGCAATTGCCACAAGTTTTCTTTAGAAAAGTTGCTTGCAATTGCTACAAGTTTTCTTTAGAAAAGTTGCTTGCAATTGCTACAAGTTTTCTTTACAAAAGTTTCTTGCAATTGCTACAAGTTTTCTTTACAAAAGTTGCTTGCAATTGCTACAAGTTTTCTTTAGAAAAGTTGCTTGCAATTGCTTCAAGTTTTCTTTAGAAAAGTTGCTTGCAATTGCTACAAGTTTTCTTTAGAAAAGTTGCTTGCAATTGCTACAAGTTTTCTTTAGAAAAGTTGCTTGCAATTGCTACAAGTTTTCTTTAGAAAAGTTGCTTGCAATTGCTACAAGTTTTCTTTAGAAAAGTTGCTTGCAATCGCTACAAGTTTTCTATTCCAAAAATGTCTCCATCTCTCTTACCAAATCTTCCATTTGCGATTTTAGATGATATATCTTCCAACCATTAATTTTACCCAAAACATTTGTTTGATTCGCCAAGTCCATGATGGTGGGTCGCCTTTCCTCGCGTGGCTTAATATCCGAATATCGTTGAAAATGATTATAAGCTGATTTCCAAGATTGTTTGTAGGTCTGTAAAACAATTTAAATAAAAATTAATAAAAATTACATTTAAAGCGGATAATTTTGAATACTTACATGCATCAGGGTGCAATTTTTGGGACGTTTTAGAATAAATTCAACAGGTTTAGTATTTTCCTTGCCATTAACAACTGTGGTAAACAAAAAAAAATTGCATTAGTTTTATATTTATTAAAAACAAACTATAGTTTCATCTTACCTTCATGACCCCCAGTATTAGCATTAACTGCAGCCGTACCATTTGCCATATTATTAGGTTCTTGGTTTAAGTTTGCGGGAGGAGGAGGTATAACAACATTTACGACATTATTATTAGCCTGAGGAGGTGGTAAACTTAATGACGTTTGACTTTGTGTGGACAGTTGACTATCATTTCTAAATAAGAATAAAAAAACTTTAACAAATTTGTAAAATTTGTATAGGAAAACCTAAACTTACGTTGATCTCCTCGACTTTTTACGTGGTGGACAATCTAAGGACCCACCATTTAGACGCTGTTGTATGGTTAGATTTGGTGGCTGGGTTGTTGCACTATGTTGGTGTGATGATGGCTGCTGCTGATGTAAATTATGATGTTCCAGTGTTGATAAATTACGTGAGGTAACTGGTGTGCCGGGCATAATATGCTGTTGTGGAACCACAGAATGATGATTGGAGTAAAGCTTTAATGAATAATTTTTGTTGAAGATAACAAATAAGCAAAACAAACAATTGAAGGGACACAGGAGGGAAAGGGGGATGGAACAGACAGGCAGAAAGTGCGAATGAAAAAACAATTAAGCAAATTTTATAGCAATCGCAAGCAACTTTTCTATAGAAAACTTGTAGCAATTGCAAGCAACTTGTAGCAATTGCAAGCTACTTTTCTATAGAAAACTTGTAGCAATTGCCAGCAACTTTTCTATAGAAAACTTGTAGCAATTGCCAGCAACTTTTCTATAGAAAACTTGTAGCAATTGCCAGCAACTTTTCTATAGAAAACTTGTAGCAATTGCAAGCAACTTTTCTATAGAAAACTTGTAGCAATTGCAAGCAACTTTTCTATAGAAAACTTGTAGCAATTGCAAGCAACTTTTCTATAGAAAACTTGTAGCAATTGCAAGCAACTTTTCTATAGAAAACTTGTAGCAATTGCAAGCAACTTTTCTATAGAAAACTTGTAACAATTGCAAGCAACTTTTCTATAGAAAACTTGTAGCAATTACAAACAACTTTTCTATAGAAAACTTGTAGCAATTGCAAGCAACTTTTCTATAGAAAACTTGTAGCAATTGCAAGCAACTTTTCTATAGAAAACTTGTAGCAATTGCAAGCAACTTTTCTATAGAAAACTTGTAGCAATTGCAAGCAACTTTTCTATAGAAAACTTGTAGCAATTGCAAGCAACTTTTCTATAGAAAACTTGTAGCAATTGCAAGCAACTTTTCTATAGAAAACTTGTAGCAATTGCAAGCAACTTTTCTATAGAAAACTTGTAGCAATTGCAAACAACTTTTCTATAGAAAACTTGTAGCTATTGCAAGCAACTTTTCTGTAGAAATGTTAGGTAATTGCATGCAACTTTTTTTGGAGAAATTTTAGAGAAATTATGAGTAACTTTTGTTTGGAAAAGTTTTTGGAATTTTAATGAAAATAGCAAACAGCATTTAGAAAAAGAAAACTTACCTCATTGATGGGATTAAAATGAGCATCTACATTAGCTGCCACTCCTGGTAAACGATTTATAATCATATTATTATCTTGTATTTGTTGATCCACCCCCGGTGAGGAATTAGCTGAAACGGTGGTACTGCCATCCGAAGAAGCAGGTGACTCTGCTCGGGAGTTTCTATTCGATATAAGATTAGGTGTGCCGGCATTGCTATTTAAGTTTGTGTTGGAGGAGGAAGTGTAAATGGTATTACAGCGATCCTTTTTAGCCAAAGCCTCCGCGGTCAGAGTGGGAGCAGAACTGAGAGCACTTGAGGTAACCGAAGTTAAACTATAAGAACTACCCACTGAAGAAGAGGCCGGAGACGAGGAAGAGTTTGCCGCTAACATATTTGCATTGCCCATTGATAGAAGTGTAGGTTGTAGATTTTTGGCCGCTCTAATGGGTGAACCCTCGACATCACGTTTGCGCAAAAAGTTAGAGACAACTGTCGAACCACCAGCATTAGCACCTGAGGTTACTTTTATAGAAGTCTGTAGGGGTATAACCATTTGATGGGTTTGTTGCGGATTAAGAGAATTAATTGAGGATTGATTGGATTGCTGTGCTACTGAGGCTGGTATGATAATTTGGGAGGTTTCCCCTAGTCCCGCCACTCCCAAGGAAGAGCCTGCCGCTTGCTGTATTAGTTGAGGCGTGGCCTGTGAAACAGCTATGGCATCTGCGGCAGCGGTCGATAAATTACCCGCACTAAGTTGACTAAATCTAACGGGCACTGCCTGTATTTGGGTACCAGCACTTGATACCGGAATTTGTAATTGTCCTATGGTACGACCAACCGTAGATGGCACTACTGTAAAGGTGGCAGTGGTGGATTGACCACCCGAGTGTGAAACATATGGCAACGAAGAGATCGATAGATTTGCCGCTGTGCTAGCTATTTGATTCTGCGACATAGTACTGCTGGTCACGGTGGTGGTGGTTAGCGACAAAACACCTGTGGATACCTGTACCGAACTGGCGGGTACAGATTCATAGTATATAGTACTGCCCGGCTGTAAAAATGTGCCCGTAGCCACATTGCCAGTAGAGGTTAAAACATTAGTAGCTCCAGTATTGGAAACATTTACGTTGGTTTGTGAAGTATTAATGCCACTGCTGATACTACTGGTGCTGCTATTGCTGTGCGGTCTCTGGGGTGCAGGAGCATGATGTATGAAAACATTGGTAGCTGTATTATTGCCCGCATTATTAGCTGTATTCGAATTGTTAATATTTTCCAAAGGTGAGGCTGCCGCAGAGGCCAACTGAGCCTGGGTCATTACTTTACCCACCGTTATAGTATTGGCATTTTTAATGGGGGTCATAGTGCCGGTTATAATATTACCACTAACCCCAGCTCCTCTTGTACTAATGGCCAAGGGTACTACGGTAGCTCCTCCTGCCGCTGTACCTCCAGCACTTGAGGTTACTATATTTTGTGTGGTTAAGAGTTGACCACCCTGCGAAACATTTACCAGTTGTGTGGTGGCATTTGTTGACAAATTGGTGGCCGTTATGCTGGCTGTTGATATAGAAGGTGAATTGCTGCCGGTACTGGTATTAACGCCAGCCAAATTTTGTGGTCCTAAAGATGAGGGTCCCGAACCGCCACCAGAGGATGAAGGTAATTTGCCAATGCCCAGTTGGGTGATAGTTAAAGAAGGTTGTACTTTGGCTGCCATTGTTACAGGAGGACGTATGCCTATTTAAGAAAAGTTTAAAAAAAGTATTAGAATTAAAAAAAAACAATTGAAGCAACTTTTGGCAAATGCCAGCAACTTTTCTATAGAAAACTTGTAGCAATTGCAAGCAACTTTTCTATAAAAAACTTGTAGCAATTGCAAGCAACTTTTCAATAGAAAACTTGTAGCAATTGCAAGCAACTTTTCTATAGAAAACTTGTAGCAATTGCAAGCAACTTTTCTATAGAAAACTTGTAGCAATTGCAAGCAACTTTTCTATAGAAAACTTGTAGCAATTGCAAGCAACTTTTCTATAGAAAACTTGTAGCAATTGCAAGCAACTTTTCTATAGAAAACTTGTAGCAATTGCAAGCAACTTTTCTATAGAAAACTTGTAGCAATTGCAAGCAACTTTTCTATAGAAAACTTGTAGCAATTGCAAGCAACTTTTCTATAGAAAACTTGTAGCAATTGCAAGCAACTTTTCTATAGAAAACTTGTAGCAATTGCAAGTAACTTTTCTATAGAAAACTTGTAGCAATCGCAAGCAACTTTTCTATAGAAAACTTGTAGCAATTGCAAGCAACTTTTCTATAGAAAACTTGTAGCAATTGCAAACAACTTTTCTATAGAAAACTTGTAGCAATTGCAAGCAACTTTTCTATGGAAAACTTGTAGCAATTGCAAGCAACTTTTCTATAGAAAACTTGTAGCAATTGCAAGCAACTTTTCTATAGAAAACTTGTAGCAATTGCAAGCAACTTTTCTATAGAAAACTTGTAGCAATTGCAAGCAACTTTTCTATAGAAAACTTGTAGCAATTGCAAGCAACTTTTCTATAGAAAACTTGTAGCAATTGCAAGCAACTTTTCTATAGAAAACTTGTAAATTAATTCAGATTATAGACATCTTTTCTGCTGGAAATTTATTCAGATTGTGAGCAACTTTTCTACTTTTTTTTTAATCATAACTTCCCACTTCCACCGTAAATAATATTAATATTTAATAAAACATTTTAAAAATTTCCTAAAAAATTCTTAACATTTTAATTTTTTTTTATTCTTAACTTTTTAAACTTTATTTTCTTACGCAAATTAAAAAAAATCTTATGAAATCTTTACATTTGTTTTGTTTTATGTGTATTTTTGCTGTTTAGTATCTCCAATAGTTTTTAAACGACTGAAAGCAGAGCAATTGAATTTTTTTCTTATTGTCATCGTCGTTGTTGTTTTATACGGTTTCAGTTTCTAGCATGAATCATTTATAATATTCTTGTATTTATTTCAGGCAAATTTTAAATGAATATGTTTGTTTGTCTGTAGTAAATTGTATCAGTTTTTATTTATATTTAGTTGTGTCTTTATAATATTGCAGTTTTTTTCAACAACAACAACAAATATACAACAATTGTTTTATATTTTATTTAACAGCTGATAAAGTCTAGCTTTAGTCTATTTTAGTATTAAGCGGAGGGAAAAAGGTACAAAGTTTTAATTATAAAAAAAAGAAAACGTATTCATTACAAAATTCTTAGTAGAAATACTGTAGGTGTTGTAAAATGTATGTTTTTCAAACTAGGGAAGTGAAAAATAAACGTTTTTCATATAAAAAATAAACAATGATATTTGATACGTTAAAAACAACATTATAAACTATTCACAGCTAGTCTTGTATTTTGTATAGTTTATTAAAATACAAAATTGCGATATCAGCTTGTGAACAGCGAATTGTATTTCCATGGTGTTAGTGCGGATATCTACAGGTGAGGATTGAACTAGAACTGAACTAGAACAGACCTAGAACTGAACATGAACTAGAACTGAACTTGAACAAGAACTGAACTAGAACTGAACTAGAACTGAACTAGAACTGAACTAGAACTGAACTAGAACTGAACTAGAACTGAACTAGAACTGAACAAGAACTAGAACTGAACTAGAACTGAACTAGAACAGACCTAGAACTGAACATTAACTAGAACTGAACTTGAACTAGAACTGAACTAGAACTAAACTAGAACTGAACTAGAACTGAACAAGAACTAGAACTGAACTAGAACTGAACTAGAACTGAACTAGAACAGAACTAGAACAGAACTAGAACTGAACTAGAACTGAATTAGAACTGAACTAGAACTGAACTAGAACTGAACTAGAACTGAACTAGAACTGAACTAGAACTGAACTAGAACAGAACTAGAACAGAACTAGAACTGAACTAGAACTGAACTAGAACTGAATTAGAACTGAACTAGAACTGAACTAGAACAGAACTAGAACTGAACTAGAACGGAACTAGAACTGAACTAGAACTGAACTAGAACTGAACTAGAACTGAACTTGAACTGAACTAGAACTGAACTAGAACTGAACTAGAACTGAACTAGAACTGAACTAGAACTGAACTAGAACTGAACTAGAACTGAACTAGAACTGAACTAGAACTGAACTAGAATTGAACTAGAACTGAACCAGAACTGAATTAGAACTGAACTAGAATTGAACTAGAACTGAACTAGAACTGAACTAGAACTGAACTAGAACTGAACTAGAACTGAACTAGAACTGAACTAGAACTGAACTAGAACTGAACTAGAACTGAACTAGAACTGAACTAGAACTGAACTAGAACTGAACTAGAACTGAACTAGAACTGAACTAGAACTGAACTAGAACTGAACTAGAACTGAACTAGAACTGAACTAGAACTGAACTAGAACTGAACTAGAACTGAACTAGAACTGAACTAGAACTGAACTAGAACTGAATTAGAACTGAACTAGAACTGAACTAGAACAGAACTAGAACAGAACTAGAACTGAACTAGAACTGAATTAGAACTGAACTAGAACTGAACTAGAACAGAACTAGAACAGAACTAGAACTGAACTAGAACTGAACTAGAACTGAACTAGAACTGAACTAGAACTGAACTAGAACTGAACTAGAACTGAACTAGAACTGAACTAGAACTAGAACTGAACTAGAACTGAACTAGAACTGAACTAGAACTGAACTAGAACTGAACTAGAACTGAACTAAAACTGAACTAGAACTGAACTAGAACTGAACTAGAACTGAACTAGAATTGAACTAGAACTGAACCAGAACTGAACTAGAACTGAACCAGAACTGAACTAGAATTGAACTAGAACTGAACTAGAACTGAACTAGAACTGAACTAGAACTGAGCTAGAACTGAACTAGAACTGAACTAGAACTGAACTAGAACTGAACTAGAACTGAACTAGAACTGAACTAGAACTGAACTAGAACTGAACTAGAACTGAACTAGAACTGAACTAGAACTGAACTAGAACTGAACTAGAACTGAACTAGAACTGAACTAGAACTGAACTAGAACTGAACTAGAACTGAACTAGAACTGAACTAGAACTGAACTAGAACTGAACTAGAACTGAACTAGAACTGAACTAGAACTGAACTAGAATTGAACTAGAACTGAACCAGAACTGAACTAGAACTGAACCAGAACTGAACCAGAACTGAACTAGAACTGAACTAGAACTGAACTAGAACTGAACTAGAACTGAACTAGAACTGAACTAGGACTGAACTAGGACTGAACTAGAACTGAACTAGAACTGAACTAGAACTGAACTAGAACTGAACTAGAACTGAACTAGAACTGAACTAGAACTGAACTAGAACAGACCTAGAACTGAACATGAACTAGAACTGAACTTGAACTAGAACTGAACTAGAACTGAACTAGAACTGAACTAGAACTGAACTAGAACTGAACTAGAACTGAACAAGAACTAGAACTGAACTAGAACTGAACTAGAACAGACCTAGAACTGAACATTAACTAGAACTGAACTTGAACTAGAACTGAACTAGAACTAAACTAGAACTGAACTAGAACTGAACAAGAACTAGAACTGAACTAGAACTGAACTAGAACTGAACTAGAACAGAACTAGAACAGAACTAGAACTGAACTAGAACTGAATTAGAACTGAACTAGAACTGAACTAGAACTGAACTAGAACTGAACTAGAACTGAACTAGAACTGAACTAGAACAGAACTAGAACAGAACTAGAACTGAACTAGAACTGAACTAGAACTGAATTAGAACTGAACTAGAACTGAACTAGAACAGAACTAGAACTGAACTAGAACGGAACTAGAACTGAACTAGAACTGAACTAGAACTGAACTAGAACTGAACTAGAACTTAACTTGAACTGAACTAGAACTGAACTAGAACTGAACTAGAACTGAACTAGAACTGAACTAGAACTGAACTAGAACTGAACTAGAACTGAACTAGAACTGAACTAGAACTGAACTAGAACTGAACTAGAACTGAACTAGAACTGAACTAGAATTGAACTAGAACTGAACCAGAACTGAACTAGAACTGAACCAGAACTGAACTAGAACTGAACTAGAACTGAACTAGAACTGAACTAGAACTGAACTAGAACTGAACTAGAACTGAACTAGAACTGAACTGAACTAGAACTGAACTAGAACTGAACTAGAACTGAACTAGAACTGAACTAGAACTGAACTAGAACTGAACTAGAACTGAACTAGAACTGAACTAGAACTGAACTAGAACTGAACTAGAACTAGAACTGAACTAGAACTGAACTAGAACTGAACTAGAACTGAACTAGAACTGAACTAGAACTGAACTAGAACTGAACTAGAACTGAACTAGAACTGAACTAGAACTGAACTAGAACTGAACTAGAACTGAACTAGAACTGAACTAGAACTGAACTAGAACTGAACTAGAACTGAACTAGAACTGAACTAGAACTGAACTAGAACTGAACTAGAACTGAACTAGAACTGAACTAGAACTGAACTAGAACTGAACTAGAACTGAACTAGAACTGAACTAGAACTGAACTAGAACTGAACTAGAACTGAACTAGAACTGAACTAGAACTGAACTAGAACTGAACTAGAACTGAACTAGAACTGAACTAGAACTGAACTAGAACTGAACTGAACTAGAACTGAACTAGAACTGAACTAGAACTGAACTACGAACTAGAACTGAACTAGAACTGAACTAGAACTGAACTAGAACTAGAACTGAACTAGAGCTGAACAAGAACTGAACTAGAACTGAACTAGAACTGAACTAGGACTGAACTAGGACTGAACTAGAACTGAACTAGAACTGAACTAGAACTGAACTAGAACTGAACTAGAACTGAACTAGAACTGAAGTAGAACTGAACTAGAACTGAACTAGAACTGAACTAGAACCGAACTAGAACTGAACTAGAACTGAACTAGAACTGAACTAGAACTGAACAAGAACTGAACTAGAACTGAACTAGAACTGAACTAGAACTGAACTAGAACTGAACTAGAACTGAACTAGAACTGAACTAGAACTGAACTAGAACTGAACTAGAACTGAACTAGAACTGAACTAGAACTGAACTAGAACTGAACTAGAACTGAACTAGAACTGAACTAGAACTGAACTAGAACTGAACTAGAACTGAACTGGAACTATATTTTGTATTCTGTTTACTTTGCCATTAATTCTTACTCAATTTTTTGAAAAAAATCTAATTAGATTTTATTTAAATCTAATTAGTTTATTAATTAAGGACTAATATTCCTTGTCTATTTTGTAGACGGTAAAACAAAAGATTCGCAACCGTCTAATAGGTACTTGGCGCCGTTGCATTTTATTAGCCAGCGCCGCCGAAAAATAACTGTTTTGATTGGTTTGAAAATAATTGTAAAAATTTAAATTTTTTAAAGTTTTAAATTTATATTTTTGTTTATCTTATTTTGAGGTTATGTTATAACCGGAAACTTAATTAATGCCACTGTCAAAATTTAAAACCTCAGCCAACGCTGTCAACTTTTAATGACGGATAAAAGTTACTGACAACGACATTTTAAAAAGTTTTCTATAGAAAATTTGTCTTACACAAATATTTCAGTTAGAAACTATATTTTCCATAGAAAAGTATCCCAAACACATATTTTTTGTTGTGCTAAAGAAAAAATTTATTTACATAGATTTTACCCAAAATTTTTATAAACAAATTTGTCCCAAAGCTAATTTCCTGGAAAAAACGTTGTCCTAAACTAAATTTTCTATAGAAAAAATTGTCCCAAAACAAATTTTTTATTGAAAAGTGTCCCAAACTAAACTGTTTAAAGAAAAAAGTCTCAAACTCAATTTTGTATAGAAAACTTTGTCCCAAATAGAAATTCTTTAGAAGAATTTGTCACAAACCAAATTATCTATTAAAAAAATTGTCCCTGAGTCAATTTTCTTTAGAAAAATTTGTCTTAAACTAAATTTTTTAAAGAAAAAAATTTCCAAAACATAATTTTCTATAAAAAAAATTTGTCCCAAACTAAATTTTTTATGGAAAAAGTTGTCCAAAATTATTTTTTTTAAGAAAAATTTATGCCAAACCTAGTTTTCTATAAAAATATTTGTCCCAAACGAAATTTTCTATCAAAAAGTTGTCTCAAAATAGATTTTCTATTGAAAATTTAAAAAAAAATTTCCCAAACTAAATTTTCTATAGAAAAACTTGACTCGAACTTAATATTCCATAAAAATATTTGTCCCAAATATAATTTTCTATAGAAAAATTTGTATTAAGTTTAACAAAAAGTGTTCCAAGTAAAGTTTTCTTTAGAAAAATTAACATTTCGTTTGAATAATTGTCCTAAATGACGTTTTTTTCCATATTGAAGGTTTTTCTTGCCAACTTACCAATTTTATTAGTTCCCGAAGTATTAACAATTATCGGCTGCAACATAACATTTGCCGCCAAACGTCCCGTTGTTCCTATAATCTGCTGAGCCGTACCACCAGGTTGTTGTTGCAATTGTATAATACGTGCCGCCGATAAATTAGTGGAGGGTAAAACATTTGCTGTAGATGTTACCCCTGTAACGGTAGTACTGCGTGGTGAATTAGAGGCATTATTACCGCCAACATTAGCATTTGAAACACCCGTAGCTATGGTGGGTGTTAAATTAGGAGCCCTTATACTTATACTGGTCGTATTAAGTTTGGCTGCCGAAAATGATTTAGCAAATGGTATTGGTCGTATTTGACGAGGAGCACCCGTAGAGCCAACAGTTCCTGCTGTTAAGGGAGTGGCAACAGCAAAACGTGGACCGGTATTGGCCACAGAGGTTTGATTGAACTGTTGCTGCTGCTGTTGGTTTAAGGGTTGAGATGTGGCCACATTGGAGGAATAGACTAGTTGATGACGGGGTGGTAAAACAGTAGCAACATAGGTTTGTTGTTGCTGTTGTGGAGGAGCAGCAGAGGAAACGGCTTGTATGGTGGCTGTAAATAAAAGAAAGGAAAATTATTATTAATAGAAATGAATTTTGAAGGAAAAAAAACAAACTTACATTGTTGTTGATTTTGTTGTGCATTATTTGTTTGTTGAGGATTACCTAGACCTGCCGTCTGTAGAGCAGAGGCTGTGCTAGTAACCACGGTGCCACTAACAGAAGCTACGGTCGAAACAGGAGAACCGCTAATACCTTGTGTGGTAATGATGCGTTGTCTGGATTGATGTGGTATGGCACGTATTAATTGCACTTGTCCTGTATTGGCCGCCATCCAAGTAGTGCTAGTGGCGGGCGATATGACAGTAGTGGCCGGTGAAGAAGTATTGCGACTTACAGCTGTTCCTCTTACAAAATTACCGGCTGCCGTTATACCCGTAACCGTGGCACCTGCTCCTGTGGCAGTTACAGATGCGGGTGTCGTGCGTATGGGTGTTACTAGTCTTTGTCCTGCTGGTACTCCTAAACCTACACCGGTCATTTGTGTAGCTGTTACACTGGCTCTTGGTAAATATGTAGCTTGTGTTGCTGTCCGGGTAACCGTTATGGAAGTATTTGATACGGATCTAGCAGGAGCCGTGGGAAAAGCAGTAATTTGTGTACGTCCAGGACCAGCATTTTCCAATTGCTTTATCATCGAGGGAGTCATTATATTACCCATAACAACTCTCACCTGGGTCGATTGTCCCCCCGCACCTATGGCCCTTATAGAAGTGGCACCCGAAGTATTTGTTTGTGATGTATTCAAGGCAATGGGTGTGCCACTTAACGAAGTAGCCACTGCACCACTATTACCCACCTTAATGGCACCCACTGTCGATAGACCACCACTTGTTACGATTGTTCCTGTAGCACCGGCGCCACCACCACCAGGCGCTTGCCCCAAACCACTTAAGGTGAGGCCACCATTATTAGCAGCATCTAGTGTTGTTGTCTTAACATGCGTTATTTTGGCTGCAACTGGATTTAAAGAAAATAAATTTGTTACATTTGTGGGATTTTTCAATTGTATGGGAGCATGGACATGTGCTATTTGTGGATTGTTAAGATTGGGTGTTGTGGCACAACTAGTAGAAGTGGTAGAAGAAGAAGGTGTCGTTGTTGGAGTTGATGTAGGTGTTGGTGAAGGCAATGGTGAATGGTGTGATTGTTGGTGTTGTAAAGATGCTGGATGTGGATGGGGTATTAATTGGGTTTTTATAATTTTTAAGGGTTCTGTGTAAAAAAAAAAAATAATAATAAAATAAGGGAAATAAATAATAAAAATAAAAACAACAAAAAATATAAATAAGAAAAAGACTTTGAGTGAAATAGTTTTCTATTGTAGAAATATATTTTTTGAAACAAAACATTGTCCCAAACTAAATTTTTTATAGAAAAATCTGTCCCAAACTAAATTTTCTATAGAAAAACTTGTCCCAAACTAAATTTTTTATAGAAAAATCTGTCCCAAACTAAATTTTCTATAGAAAAACTTGTCCCAAACTAAATTTTCTATAGAAAAACTTGTCCCAAACTAAATTTTTTATAGAAAAATCTGTCCCAAACTAATTTTTTACTGAAAAAATTGCCACAAACTAAACTTTTTATTGTACAATTTGTCCCAAATAAAATTTTCTGTATAAAAATTCGTTCGAAGCAAAATTTTCTATACAAAAATTTGTCCCAAACTAAATTTTTTATAAAAAAAATAGTTCCATACTAAATTTTCTATAGTAAAAATTTTTTTTAAACTAAATTATCTATAGAAAAATGTATCCCAATCTAAGTTTTCTATAGAAAAATTTGTCCCAAACAATGTTTTCCATAGAAAAATTTGCTCCAAACTTGATTTTCTATAGAAAAAATAGTTTATAACTAGATTTTCTATAAAATTTAGCTCCAAACAAAATTTTCTATAGAAAAATGTGTTCCAAATGAAATTTTCTCTTGAAAAATTTGTCCCCAAAATATGTTTTCTATAGAAACAAACAATGTTTTCTCTAGAAATATTAGTTATAAACTAAATTTTCTATAGAAAAAAATTCAAAAACTAAATTTTATATAGAAAAATGTTGCCCAAATTTGATCCACACTATGTTCCCTATAGAAAAATTTGTCCCAAACTAAATTTTCTATAAATTTTTTCTTGCACATTTTTCTATATGCCGTTCAAAAACATACCCAACCTAACAGACCCTCTTTTTGAAATAAATAATCGATATGTAAACTAGTAATACATATTGTATACACTAGGTTTAACTACTCTATGAAAAACGTATTACAAATTTAAAATTTTAAAAAAAAATTCAAATTTTCAATTTGCAAAATTTTTAACAAAATTAAATGTTATTTTATATGAAAAAATCCTAAAAAATCTTTCTATATCATTTATAATTTAACCCTTTTAAATTCACATTTAATTTTGCATAATCTCTTTATTTACACATTTCTACAAAACCCCGTCTACTAATAAGATTTCCGAAAACAGGTAACACTGCCACGAATGCAATAACAATAGCAACACGAAATAAAAATATGATAGATACAGAAAATAATGATCAAAGAAAAATCAACGTACAAAACGAAAGAAAAAAAAAATTAAAAGAACAAACACACATAAAAAATCTTGATAAATTTGTAGAGAAAATGCAAAATAATGCAATAATTTAAATATTTAACTTATATTATACATGTAGATATTTACAAATAACTGAAACCTACCTCCTGTTGGTGTTGTTGCTGTTGAACCTCCTCCTGGACCAGCACCTGTACCACCTCCTGGTCCTGGGGCACCCCCACCCCCTGTACCGTTGCTGCCATCCGTTGTACTCATTTTATTAAGAAACGCAGTATATTTATTGATAAAAATTCTAGTTTAAAATAAATTAAAATTTTATTTAAGCTTTAGTATAAAAAGTCTTTTTTTTGTTTTATGTTAAGGAAAAGTACAGCTTGGCGGCTTTCAGTTTAACAAATACGTTTTTATTTCATTTTTTTTCTCCCCACAATCATACATACACACACACTTATGCAGAGATTGTCAGGCACACATACACATTCGCACTTTTTCTTTTTTTTCTTCAGATTGACACATTTTTTATATGAAATTTTTCATTTATATTTTTTTCTTAAACACTCACCTTACTTTTGTTTAAAACGTTATTTTGAAATAATTTATTAAGTTTTCTTTAATATAAAATTGTTTGGTTAATTATTTTTTTACACTTCCCTTGAATATTCCAATTTTAATTAGTATATGCTAGTTTTTTTTTTACTTTTTGAGAAGCGTGAACTGCGAAAATACGTCCACACAGCATGAAGATTTTTAAAGAAATAAAAGAATAAAAGGCACAAAGCAAAATTCAGAAAAATTTGCGTAATTTATTTTAACAGAGTTGTATTTTTAAATGTTGTCAAGCAGGAGGTTGCCACTTGGAAGTAAATTTGTTTGATGAATTTTATATGTACGGCAGGGATGGACATTTAAAGTTTTTGTTTGTTTGAAGGGAATATTGTAATAAACATAAAATAATATATAAAAATATTTTATTTCGACTTGTTTTCTAAACAAATGATTCAAATTTATATGGAACTCATCAAGTGATCTAAATCAGCAGATTATAAGAGGGTTTTTTACAACCTGGTAGTTTGACTATAGAGACCTGGCTCTCAATGGGTTAATGATATATGTCATGTTGTACATCAATTGAAAGCTTTTTGAAAGACCTTATATATCAAGACTTTGGAGGTACCCTAATAGAGCGGATAATTTGTTTTCCATTATTGAAGTCACAAGAAAAATTACTAATAGGGTTCTATAGTTGAAACGAAAAGTCGACTTTTCGACTTTTTGCATTTAGTTAAAAGTCAACATTTCGACCTTTCGACTTTTTCCATTTTATGAAAAGTCGATTTTTCGACTTTTCGACCTTTTTCATTTATTTAAAAGTCGACTTTTAGACTTTTCGACTTTTAGTATTTTATATATGGTCGACTTTTCCACTTTTTCCGACTTTTCGACTTTTTCCGACTTTTTTCGACTTATCGACTTTTTCCGACTTTTTTCGACTTTTTCCGACTTTTTTCGACTTTTCGACTTTTTCCGACTTTTTTCAACTTTTCGACTTTTTCCGACTTTTCAACTTTTCGATTTTTTACGACTTTTTGACTATTTTCGACTTATTTCGACTTTTTTTCGACTTTTTTCGACTATTTTTTTACTTTTATCGAGTTTTTCCGACTATTTTAGAGTTTTTGACTTCTTTTCCACTTTTTTAAAATTTTCGACTATTTTTGACTTTTCGACTTTTTCCGACTTTTCGACTTTTTCCGACTTTTCGACTTTTTTCGACTTTTCGACTTTTTTCGACTTTCTTCGACTTTTTTCGACTTATCGACTTTTTTCGAATTTTCGACTTTTTTCGACTTTTTTCGACTTTTATTTACAAAGTCGACTTTTCGACTTTTTTCATAGACGATAGTCGAGTTATCGACCTTTTTGGAACAAAATAGTCGACTTCGACTTTTCGACTTTTTTCGACAAAAAGTCGATTGTTCGATTATTCCAAGGTCGATTTATAGAACCCTAATTACTATCATATCATATACATTAATATGGCAAACTTATTTATTTTTTTATTTCTGGTAAAGTGGCAACACTTATAACAGCTGGTGGGATATCAGCAGTAGCGTTGTTGTTGTGTTTATTTTAATTTTTCTTTTCATACATTCATTCTTATAATATAATAACAATTTTGATATTGAAATAACGAAATTACTATTAAATAATAAAAAAAAATTAAAGTAATCATATCTTTTAGACACTGTGGTAAGTTAAAATTAATTAAATTTTTTTTAATTGTGGTCAGTTTTTAGTATTTCTATGTTTGTAGCTGTTATCATTGACTTGCAATAGCTGCGTGGAGAGAGAAACCACGCAAACGTCAGCTTAAAAAAAGAACTCAGGGAGTAGAAATAATAAAATTCCAAAAACGCAAAAGAGAGTACAATATATTAGAAAAAAAGCTGAAAAATAATTTTATATTATAGAAAATTATTTAAAAACTTTCGAATTATTTATGGGTTCAGTTATTTCTCAGCTACCGAAACAAACAGTTGTCGTAAATATGTCTTCACCTCAGGCACAATTCGTACAAAACGCTATTAAAGACAATAAAGTTGTTATATTCTCCAAAACCTATTGTCCCTATTGCACCATGGCCAAGGAGGTATGTTTCGTTTAAAGAAATTAGTTATTAACTTTGTTTTTAAAAAAAATTTGTAATGATTTATTTTTTCATTTAGCAATTTAAAAAATTAGCCGTCGACTTTCATGTTATTGAGCTGGACAAACGTAAAGATGGCAATGAAATCCAGTCAATTTTGGGCGAAATAACTGGAGGCAGTACGGTAGGTTTTATTTTTGAGCAAGTTCATTGATTTTTATATTATGTGGGGATAAACAGCTGTGGGTTTTTCCTAATTTTGGATAAATTCTATAATTAAAAAGTTTTGTGGAAAAAGTGATTCATTACCAGGGTCATTTGTTGTTAACTTAATGTGTGCATTTTAACAATCATAAAATGTTAATGCAGGTGGCTATATACTACCTATCTCAGGGTTTAAAAACTAAACGTTATTGTGTAAAAATAACGGAAACGTTTTATATTATAGAAATTACAGAACCCGCCTTAATTATTTCAAAAACCTCCCCCGTAAGTGTTATTAATACTACTTTTATAACATTAACATTATTTATTACAAATATACCTGTTATAAAATGACCTAATTGTCTTTATAATAGCTACGTTCCCGTAGTAAAAATAAATTGCGTTCCCAAACCAATCCCACAAAATTTTACTACAAATTAACATTTAGCTTTTGAAAGCGATACGCTATAGACCCCTTCCAAAACTAAACTATTCCCCTAAGTATTGATAATATGCAATTCATTACAACATTTTCTTTAATTTTCAGGTTCCACGTTGCTTTATAGATGGCAAATTCGTTGGTGGTGGTACTGATGTTAAGAAAATGTATGAACAGGGTACTTTACAAAAGTACTTTGTCTAAATAGAGATACATAGCAGTCCTATTCAAAAATATTTGTGCTTATAAACGTTATTTATAAATTTGTTAACTTTTAAAACAATTTTGTTAATAAATCTATTTTAATGTGTTCTGATCTATTTGCTTAAGTTTATTTTTTTTTTGTTCAAATAAATGTTTTTGCTTATTAAAAAAACACTTGATTAAAAAAGTCAATTGTTTTTATTTATTTAAACCCAGCATTTTTTCAAGATTAAGGACTGATAAGAAATGTTTGAACACATTGTTCAAATATTTGATGAAATAAAGCTCAATTGCAAGCAACTTTTCTATAGAAAACTTGTATCAATTGCAAGCAACTTTTCTATAGAAAACTTGTAGCAATTGCAAGCAACTTTTCTATAGAAAACTTATAACAATTGCAAGCAACTTTTCTATAGAAAATTAGTAGCAATTGCAAGCAACTTTTCTATAGAAAACTTGTAGCAATTGCAAGCAACTTTTCTATAGAAAACTTGTAACAATTACAAGCAACTTTTCTATAGAAAACTTGTAGCAATTGCAAGCAACTTTTCTATAGAAAACTTGTAGCAATTGCAAGCAACTTTTCTATAGAAAACTAGTAGCAATTGCAAGCAATTTTTCTATAGAAAACTTGTAGCAATTGCAAGCAACTTTTCTATAGAAAACTTGTAGCAATTGCAAGCAACTTTTCTATAGAAAACTTGTAGCAATTGCAAGCAACTTTTCTATAGAAAACTTGTAGCAATTGCAAGCAACTTTTCTATAGAAAACTTGTAGCAATTGCAAGCAACTTTTCTATAGAAAACTTGTAGCAATTGCAAGCAACTTTTCTATAGAAAACTTGTAGCAATTGCAAGCAATTTTTCTATAGAAAACTTGTAGCAATTGCAAGCAACTTTTCTATAGATAACTTGTAGCAATTGCAAGCAACTTTTCTATAGAAAACTAGTAGAAATTGCAAGCAACTGTTCTATAGAAAACTTGTAGCAATTGCAAGCAACTTTTCTATAGAAAACTTGTAGCAATTGCAAGCAACTTTTCTATAGAAAACTTGTAGCAATTGCAAGCAACTTTTCTATAGAAAACTTGTAGCAATTGCAAGCAACTTTTCTATAGAAAACTTATAGCAATTGCAAGCAACTTTTCTATAGAAAACTAGTAGCAATTGCAAGCAACTTTACTATAGAAAACTAGTAGGAATTGCAAGCAACTGTTCTATAGAAAACTTGTAGCAATTGCAAGCAACTTTTCTATAGAAAACTAGTAGCAATTGCAAGCAACTGTTCTATAGAAAACTTGTAGCAATTGCAAGCAACTTTTCTATAGAAAACTTGTAGCAATTGCAAGCAACTTTTCTATAGAAAACTTGTAGCAATTGCAAGCAACTTTTCTATAGAAAACTTGTAGCAATTGCAAGCAACTTTTCTATAGAAAACTTGTAGCAATTGCAAGCAACTTTTCTATAGAAAACTTGTAGCAATTGCAAGCAACTTGTCTATAGAAAACTTGTAGCAATTGCAAGCAACTTTTCTATAGAAAACTTGTAGCAATTGCAAGCAACTTTTCTATAGAAAACTAGTAGCAATTGCAAGCAACTTTTCTATAGAAAACTAGTAGCAATTGCAAGCAACTTTTCTATAGAAAACTATTAGCAATTGCAAACAACTTTTGTATAGAAAACTTTTCCATAAAGTTTCTGGATTAGTATGAAAAGAAACTTTCTTTTAAAGAAAAGTCCTTTGCCCTTTCAGGCTTTCTAAGTTAAATGTGAAACCAAACGAGTTTATTTATTAATTGCTTAACAGAATAACTAAAAAGAAAAAATTTCATATTTAACTCTTAAAAATAGCAATGAGTAAAATACGTGTTTACTTTTTAGAAAAATAAAGAGAAAAACTTATTTTATTAAAAAAAAAAACACTTCCTAAAAGGCTATTAAATCCAAGCAAGGCCAGGATAACGTAGTTTTCATTGTTATTTCTAATTGATATTTTTCTTTACTAAAAGATAAAAATTTATAACACGAAACTTAAAAATACAGGAAATACTCAATATATAACTATACTTTATGTATGTAGTATGTGTGGTTGTATGTTTATACATATATATGTATGTATAGAATTAATAATCCAAAGCCCATTCATTTTCGGCTATAAAAGCATCGACCACTTCTTTCATAGTAAAATTCGGTATAAGTTGATCTTGAGTCAACTTAACACGAGTCACCGGATCAAAATGACCCACTCGTTGCAAATGCTCTTCAATATCTTTGCGTTCGTAGGTGATGCCAGAGGGTGTTATCACTGGATCGGTTAAAATTTCAAAACTGATCTTACCACACATATAATCGGGTACATCACGTTTTCTTCGACGCTCATCGACTTTGGCGAAAATATTGTTTAGCTCCTTGACATGATCATCACATTCCTGTTCGATTTCCTGCTGTTTATCTTTCAACTGTTCCTCGTTGGTGGTCTCATCCAATTTGAGTTTGGCCAAACGATTTTCCATGTCTTCTTTGATAAGTCTATTCAGATACGATTGCAGCTCGATTTCTTGACAAATACGCTTCTCCTCCATGACATTCCAGCGTTTCTTGCGTGCCAAACGCAACTGTGATGTTATATCATCGCCAAAGTTTTGTTTCTGCTCCTTGGACAAATCAAAGGCCCTTTGCAAATGTTTTATGGCCTCATCGTACAGCTCCATCTCCATTAGACACTGGCCCAAAAAGAAATGAGCCTTTAACAAGTTGGCATCTATATCGAGAGCACGACGACAATCTTGGCACGATAATTCCCAGCGCTTTAGTTTCAAATGGCATAAAGCCCGATTGGTGAAATACGTAGCATTGCTAGGATTCTTTATAATGGCCTTTGTATAGCAATTAATAGCGTCGTCATATTTTCTTGCTGAAAAAAAATAATTGCCCTGTTCCTTCAATTGTAGATCTGTTAAATTGCTGGTTGAGTAAATACGTTTGCTACTCGTTATTCTTGTTGTCATTATTTTTGTTGTTGGACTTTTTTTTTTTTTTTGCAATATTTTTCCTCTTCTAATCCAATTAGTTTTAGTTAATAGTTGTTACTTCTTATTTAGCTGAACTTAATTGGTATTTAACAAGCACATTTTGCTTTTCATAACAATTTTAATTAAATTTATTGTAAAATATCCAGAATTTAAATTAAAATCTATGAACTTTTATTTAGCTATGTCAAAGGTCCAAGTCGAGTGGATCGGAGCCGGCTTGGCGCCGCCGCCAACAGTTTTTAAATATCCAACCGCCGCTATTGTAATCGACTGATATCGGCTTATATTTATTTTTTTATTTTACTTTTCACAATTTCATAAAATTTAAAAAAAAAAAACAATTAAAACTGAATATGAAATTCATTTTTAAAAGCAAAACCATTTCATATCGACAAAAACGATTTTTTTATTAAATATTTAATTTATACGGTTTTTATGACTTTAATCATATTCTTTCAATTAATTCTCTTTTATAGCTGTCTGTAGCATTTTGCAAGAAGATAAAAAAACATTTCTTGATCGAAATTCATCACATCCTTTCAAATCGGTCGATTTCAAATCATTCGAATTTTATCACATATAGGAATATATCAAATATGTCAACTTTAGCAGCAGATTCAGTTTCCAAAAGAGAGGGAAATAAAAAATTTATAATTAAGGGCTTGAAAAAAAAAAAACTATAAAAGGCTTTTAACAAATGACTGTGCAACAAATTAGTTATATTTGCTATGAAGCTTAAATATTGTTTCGAGATATAATTATGCAATGCATATCCCAAAAATTCGAAGTTTTTGAAATTTTTCTCCGTGAAAATTTATATTATAACATCGGCTTCAGCGGCCGTTAGCCGCCGCCGTATTATTTTTGCTCAACCGCCGACATTGAGAATTTTGCAACGACTTGAATCTCTGGGCTATGCTGCTGTTAAATTGTATTGACTTTTTTTATTTTTTATCTCTGTTTTTTTTTTCGTTCTCTTTTCTTTTAACTTTCTAAAGTTTTTTTTCGTCAGTCTGTTTATATTAGGGTTCTATAAATCGACTTTCGAATAATCGAACAATCGACTTTTTGTCGAAAAAAGTCGAAAAGTCGATAACTCGACTATCGTCTAAGTCGGAAAAAGTCGAAAAGTCGGAAAAAGTCGAAAAGTCGAAAATAGTCGAATATTTTAAAAAAGTGGAAAAGAGGTCAAAAACTCTAAAATAGTCGGAAAAACTCGAACAAAGTAAAAAATAGTCGAAAAAAGTCGAAATAAGTCGAAAATAGTCAAAAAGTCGTAAAAAATCGAAAAGTCGAAAAGTCGGAAAAAGTCGAAAAGTTGAAAAAAGTCGGAAAAAGTCGAAAAAAGTCGAAAAGTCAAAAAAAGTCGAAAAGTCGAAATAAGTCGGAAAAAGTCGAAAAAAGTCGGAAAAAGTCGACCATTTATAAAATACTAAAAGTCGAAAAGTCTAAAAGTCGACTTTTAAATAAATGAAAAAGGTCGAAAAGTCGAAAAATCGACTTTTCATAAAATGGAAAAAGTCGAAAAGTCGACTTTTAACTAAATACAAAAAGTCGAAAAGTTGACTTTTCGTTTCAATTATAGAACCCTAGTTTATATTAGCACTAATGAACTGCCAATCTTTGAGAAACTTAAGTGGGGAAGTGTTGGTAATTGGGAATAATATTAAGAAAAGCGTTAAATTCAAATAAAAGACAACTTTTCAGCCTAAACTATGGACCAGACTATAGACTAGACTATACTCTAGACTTGATTATAGACTAGACTATAGCCTAGAATATAGACTATAGACTTGACTATAGACTAGAATATAGACTAGACTATAGGCTAGAATATAGACTAGGCTATAGACTTGACTATAGATACTATAGACTAGACTAGACTATAGAAACTATAGAATATGCTATAGATTAGACTATAGATTATACTATAGACTAGACTATAGACTTGACTATAGATAGTATAGACTAGACTATAGATTATACTATATTTAGGCTACACTAAAGATTATTGCCAGATTTCTCACAATCTGTACTTTTCTATTTGTTTTTCTCGCAAATAAAATATTAATTTTGAATTTTTAATGCAAATAAATATATTTTTTTAGAAAATAATTTAATTATTTGTTAAATTTAAAAAAAGTAAAGTATGTACTTAAAAAATAAAATAAATTAATTCATGTTTTTTTTTACAAATCCTCCAATATTAAAACGATATTTGCTTCCAATAACTCTTGATTACTCTTTATCAGTAGCTTATCAAATTCATCCTCGTCCTCTGCGAACAATGATATAGAGAAATTTGTTTCTAAATATAATAAAATAAATTGAGAAGCGGAATGTGTAAAAGCTATTTTCGTCAATTCATTAATATCTTCCATAGACTGACAATTAGAATGCCAATATTTTAAAATATCCATGCTAATGGGTTGCCTCTTTGTGGGTACAAAATTTGATAGCTTATGCTGTATGCTGACATTGGTTTTAACGGGCATCGTATCATTAATATGTTGGGTCAGTAAAGCATATTCATCATCATTAAATTCCTCATTATTTAGTTCAGTATTTGATAAAGTATTATCCGGACTCTCACTTAACTGTAGATAGGTTTTAAATTTGTCCCATATTTCACAAAGAAATAACTATTTGAAAGAGGAAATCATTCTATAAGTAATTAATAACATTTTTTAATTAATAACTTACTTTGCCTTTAATTTGTTCATTATCTCCTATTAAACGTGTACCCAAAAAATTAAATCTGGCATCCAAATACAAAGCTGCTACAAATTCTCGAGATTCTAAGATTCTATTTTTGAAGTTACAAAACTCCTCATAAAGTTCCTTTGCATAGGAGTTCTGACTTTTATTATGTTCCCCCTTTAAACCCAATTCACAACACAACAAATCGCGATAAAAATCTCCCGACACATATTGTTCTCCACTCAATTTATCCATAAAATTCCAAAATATTTGTAACGCTTTAAAGAAGTGTTTAGCTGGCAGCAATTGTTCTTCGTTTTCAGCACAATTTTTCTCCAAATACTCTGAAAATTCTTTTAAATTTTCCGATATGTTCTTTTTCAATAATACGGTTTCTTTGTGTCCACTCTGTGTTTGCCAATTTTTAATATCCGGAGAGTATTTCTTAATAAATGATGTAAATATAGTTTGCAGTTCGTATATAGGATGATTTTTTATATCAGGATTATGTTTACAGATGTTATCACATATTTTATAGATTTCCTCATCATTATGGAATTCTGGCATGATGGTTTTCATATAGACTTGTTGCTCATCAATACTGAACTTTTTTAAATATTTATTAAGGGGTAAAAGTTGGATTGACGCTGTTATGGCGAAAGATCCTGAAAAATAAAAAAGATTTTAGATTATAATATGGAGTAGACTATAGAATAGACGATCGACTGACTAGACTATAGACTAGACTATATTCAATAAGAGCGGGTTTTTGAGATGGCAATCAAATGCCAATTAATAATCAGATTAGTTAATCTAAAAATAAATTTAATCTTATGTTAATCCCCTTTGATGTTTTTGAGTACAAGATTAAACTTCGCAGTGTTGCCATACAAAACAACAGAAAACGTCACTGTTTGTTATCAAAACAATGCATATTTTATAAAAAAGAAGAAGACAATTGTAAATTTAATATGAAAATTAATGAAAACTTAAATTAAAAACAAAAAATGTATTTTGAAGTGTCCATAATTTATACTAATCAATAAATAGAACATTTTAATGTTTATAGTTATAAAAATTGTATTAATTTTTTTTGCATCAGCTGTTTACACTTTTGCATTTTGTGTAAACAAAACATCTTTTGAGGATTAATTTTAATTTAATCGCTAATCTTTCACCTAAAGCCCTAAGTCTATTGAATTTCAGGCTCAGTATATGTATATTTTACTTACCTATCAATTTATTACATATAATTTCTTCCTCCAAAAATCGAACATTTATTATCATATAATAACTGCCAAAACGTTTTAAAATATATAATTCCAAGCAAAGAATTTTATTGCTAAACCTTTTACTCAACTGCTCCACAATTAAATGATTTGCTTTAAGCATTATATTCCGCATTTTAGTAGCATTGATATTACAACCAAATACTTGCTCGTAAGGAGCCAATAAAGTTTTAAAATATTTATCATCATCGAAATAGTGCAAAGGCATATCACGTTCTATTACCAAACCCAAACATAAGTTGAGAAATGATTGTTTAGTTAGGTCTATATTAACGGTTGTAGAATTTTCTTTTGAACCGGTAGATAGAGGGTTTAAAATAGTGTTGTTAACATTCACTGTTGAGGGTGGCAATATTTGTTTGTTTTCTAAGGGATTTTCAGTTATTATGGGAAATGTTTGTTTGGCTTTTTTAATATCATCATCATCATCATCACTTATGTATTCTTTTTTAATTGGACAATTCATTGATTCCTCTAAATAATTTGTTGGGTCATCTTCCTCACTTAGATATTCATTTCTTACAGAACACGATTCTTCCTCTAGAAATTCAGTTTCAAAAGACGTTTCATATAGTTCATGATATCTACGTGGAAGCTTTCTTTTTATACCACACTCAGGATCTTTGGCTATAGCCACTTGATGCACCTTACAATAGTGAATTTTTAGCGAGGGTAAATCTTTTTCCAATACTTGAGAGCAATTGTTGAATATACACTGAAAGCTGGAGGATTCAATGTCAAAGGCCACCAGTTCATCGATTATGGAGGTATCGAAAATTTCTTGAAATTCTTCATTCGGTAGACGTATACCATGTAATATAACAAAATTATGCATTCTCTTGTAATGCCTTTTGATGTTACCCACTATACAGCCGCTCATGGAACGTTTGCAATGTCTTATTAAACATTTGGCCAAATTTTTCTCTTTATCATAGTCTACATATTGGGACATATTAAATTTGCCAATACTTCTACGTCCTAAAGATAATACCATAGAGCGTATAGTGGATGAATAAAGGTTTTGTTCCATTAAACTTAAATTACGATTTTCTTCCTCCTCATCTGGCAAAATACTTTCTTGATTTCTGTGTGAAACAGTGGCCGGTAATGCTTTTCCCCGATATAATGTAGGCATAGCCATTTTATAGGATTCTTTGTTTATAATTATTTTATGCACTTCGTGATAATGATTTCTTACTAAGGATAAGTCTTTTTCCAAAGTTTGATTACAATTAATAAATAAACATTGCTGCGAGGAAATTTCCATATAAAAGGGTAATAGATCAACTTTTGTGGACGGTTTATCCTTTGATTCTTGATAGGGTGAACGTAAACCATGCAAAATAACAAAATTGTGCATGGTTAGGTAATGGCGTTTAATATTACCCACTAAACAGCCACTCATGGAACGTTTGCAGTGTTTTATTAGACATTTGGATAGATTTTTCTCCTGATTATAATCGACATATCTTTCCACACGCATTTTACCATAATTTACTTTTTCCATTTCCATTTCAGTATCTTGATCTATGGTTTTTGTCTGTTGTGTTTCATCGTCGTCACTACCCAAAGTGGTCGTTGCCTCTTCATTATAAAACTCCATTTCCGATAACTGCTGTTGTTGCAGTTCCCGATATCTACGTTTACGCTGCACTATATAATCCGAATATCTTATTATAATGATTTTATGGATTTCCAAATAATGTTTTTTTATTGTGAATAAATTATCCTCCAAATTAACACCACAATTCATAAATAAACACTGATAAGTGGAATTCTTATCGTAGGCTACCAGATCCTCTATTTGTTCTCGCCTAACATCGGACATTTCTTCAATTTCTTCGAAAGGTATACGTGAACCATGTAAAATAACAAAATTGTGCATGGTTAGGTAATGACGTTTAATATTTCCCGCTAAACAGCCACTCATGGAACGTTTGCAGTGTTTTATCAAACATTTTGATACATTCTTTAGCTGATCATAATCCACATAGTTCTGCAAAATAAATTTACCAAAACCCATTTTCCCCAGTGGCATTAAAGGCTTATTTATTTGTTTAGAGCAGTGAGGTTGATCCTCCTGCTCCTGTTTAATGTTAAACACATCCGTTTGTTGCAGATATTCTCTAAGTTTATTTTCCACATATTCCTGATCGTTTTCAAAGGGTTGGTGAATATAACGATAAATTCTTTTGCGATAAAAACGATTTGGTACATTCTGTCCATTACGTGCTATAACAACTTTATGTGCTTCATTATAATGCCTCTCTACCTTTAAGATATCTTTTTCTAACAACTCCGAGCAGGTAATAAATAAACAATGGGCTTTGTTGTTTTCCCCATCAAAAGCCACTAAATCTTCCAAGGGAATATTTATGGGTTCTTTATTCGCTCTTGAGCTATCAGATTTAGTTACTTCTTTATTTGTCTCTTCGGCGCCTATTTTAAAATTATGCACCAAACTATAATGGCGCATAATATTGTTGGGTTTCCGACTCACTAAAGCCGCATTACAGCCGGGCATTTTACAATAAGATTTATTCGTTAAAGGATCATAATCAAAATATTTATCCAAATTAACGGTTATACAAGCCGGCTGCGATGCCGTTTCATCTGTTAGTTTTTCCTTATCCTTATTATTTCTATGGACTATAACAAAATTGTGAACCTTTTCGTAATGCCTTTTAATATTTCCCGTACGTCTACCACTCATAGGTTTTTCACAATTTATTATTAAACATTTTGACATATTAGTCTCCTGATTATAATCAACATAATCGGCCACCAAAAAGGTTCTATAACCTTTATTCTCCCTACAAACATCTTCATCATTATAACAAGGGTCATTATTATCATAATCATCATCGTCATCATTATCATCATCAACATATTGTATGGTATATTGTTTTAGCGGGTCATCAGTTTCCCCACCACTGTTGCTGCTATTGTGATTGTCATAACTATTGTGAATATCTAACATGTCTTCCATAACTTTTTCCTGTTCTTCTTTAACCGGATAATGCCGTGTCCATTGGTGTGTATATTTTTCATAGCCTGTTGTTGTTGTTGTTAAACCATACTCAGGAGTGAAATTCTTTGGGATATTTTTGTTGAACATTTCTAAACTCATTTGATAATCTTCCCCGCTTATTGTTTGTTCACTTTTTCTATTTATTGACATGTTTTTATTTATTACTTTTTATTCTAATCGATATTTTGTTTTTTCTTTTTTTTTTTTATTATATTTTAATAAATTTTCTTCTGTGAACTAGTTAATTGTTCACACACGAAAGAACAAAGAAGAACTGTATAAATTATATATGTATGTATTTTTTCGTGTTCCTTTTCATGTATCTTCTCGTGACACAGAGTTGTCAAAATGTGTTTACGCTTGTGACTCTCGAATAATAAACATAACACAGAAGAAATAAACTAGTTCGTTTAGTAGGTGGGGGAAAGAGAGGTAACAATGTTATTAACATAACATCAGGCAATGTAGCTGTTTAACTAATAAATACAATTACAACTGCTAACGTTAAACAAGAAAAAGCTGTAGATATGAAAGTAAATACCAAAAGAATAAATGTAAATACTTTATAGGCAGTGGTTTGTGGTCGTAATTGTAATCTTTTAGATTAAAGTAAACAAAAAAAAATACATAGAATTTTTGCGGGAAGTTGTAAATAAATGAATGAAAAAATGAATTATTTAATGAAGAGCCTAAAAAATAAGGTATAGAATAGGCTATAGACTGGACTATATGGTAGACTTTAGACGAATCTTTAGTCTAAACTTTTGAATATCTTTACAAAAAACCTACAGAATGGATTATAGATTAGAATTTAGTGTATATAATGAACTAAGAATGGACTAAACTATGGACGAGTCTTCAAAGCAGACAAGTCTAAAACAAGACTATAGACTAGACTATTCTCAACACTATAGCTGTCACTATGGGCTTAAGTAAAAAAATCGTTTCTTTTTCTATTCCCTTTATAGTTTTATTCAATTTTAAATAATCACTACTACTATATCATTTAATAAAACATTACAACTAAAATTTTCTTTTCAATTTTCACATATTCGTTTAGAATTTTTTTCTAAAATTTTATGATTAAACTTAATAAAACATTTATCAAATTTATCATTACAGTCTCTGGTTGCAACACTAAAATTAGTTTGCAAATATTTTAGTACCCCCTGGGAGGCGGGGAAAGTTAAAACAATTTTAATTAATTCCCTTATATCATCCATATCATGACGATTATTATGCCAATACTTTAAAATATCCAAACTGAATGGTTCTCGCTTTGTGGCTACACAATTGGTAAGTTTATCCTCCAAAGAGATTTCGGTTTTAAAAGGCATCGTATCATTGATATGTTGCGTCAACAAAGCATATTCATCGTCATTCGATTCATCCTGGGGTGAGGGATTATTACTGTTGTTTGTTAGATAATAATTGAATCTTTCACCCAAAGTACAAAGTAATAACTGAAAAAAGTGAATTTGTAAAAAATGTTTATAAATATTTTAATCTATAACTTTTAAATTACCTTGCCCTGACTTATGTTTTCCTCACTTAATAAACGTGAACCCAAGAAATTAAATCTTACATCCAAATATAAAGCCGCTGCAAATTCACTTATTTCTAGAAGATTATTTTTACAAAAATACAAATCTTCATACAATTTGCCCGCATAGTTGTTGCTATTTTTCATTAGTTCTCCTTTTAATTCCAATTCACAACACAACCAATCGCGAAACAAATCACCGGCCACATATTGTTCTCCATTAAGTTTCTCCATTAAATTCCAAAATATTTGCAAGGCTTTAAAGAAAAGCCTCGATTCCGGTAATTTTTCCTCAGTATTTGGATAATTCTCTAAGTATTGACCAAATTCTTTTAGATTTTTTATTATATCCTTTTCAGTTTCTTGGTATTCACTCAGTTCTTGCCAATTCTTAATGTCTGTCGAGTATTTTTGTAGAAATTGTCTTAAAATGATGTGTAGTTCGTAAATGGGATGATTATGTATATTTGCATTATGTCTACATATAGTATTACATATATTATAGATTTCCTCATCATTTAGTAGTTCCGGCATAATGGTTTTTATATAGACTTGTTGCTCATCAATGTTAAATTTGTTTAAAAAATCAGCAAAAGGTATGATTTTAGTTGTTTTATTAATTGGTAAAAATCCTAAAAAATTATTTTAAATTTTATATAAATTATATTTGTCAAATATAGATTAAACTATAGTCAAGACTATAGACTAGTCAATAGGTAGGAGTCAGACTTTATATAGTTCTAGAGTCAGGAGTATAAATATATCTACAGTTGAGACTATAGACCAGACTATAGTCAAGGCTATAGACCATATTTTATTCAAGACTATAGACTAGATATAGACAAAACTATACAATATCAATCAGACTATTGACCAGACTATTGTCGAGAATATAGACCAAATTATAGTCAAGACAGTAGACTAGACTGTAGTCAAGACTACGGACCAGATATAGTCAAAAATTATACAATATCAATCAGACTATAGACCAGACTATTGTCAAGACTTTGGACCAAACTATAGTCAAGAGTATAAAGCAGAATATAGTCAATTCTAAAGACCAGACTATAGTCAAGACTAAAGACAAGACTATAGTCAAGACTATAGACCACACTATATACGAGACTATAGTCAAGACTATAGACCAGACTATATACTAGACTATAGTCAATACTATAGACCAGACCATATACGAGACTATAGACCAAGACAACATCAATTAGACTATAGACAATACTATATACGAGACTATAGTCAAGACAACATCAATCAGACTATAGATCAGAATATGGACTAGTTATAATCAACAATTCCTACTTACCAATTACTTTATTTTCCACTTTTTCCTGTTCCAAAAAACGTACATTAAATACCAAAAAATACTTATTTTCACGCTTCAAAACATATAATTCCAAACACACTATTTTATTCTGAAATATTTCCTTTAAATCTTCCTCTATAATATTATTTGCCTTATGCAATAGTTCTTCCATTAAGTTGGCGTTCATTTGACAATCTAATGCCTGTTCATAGGGAGCCAATAACGGCTTAAAATATTTATCATCATCAAATAGTTGTAGGGAAATGTCACGTTCTATTACCAAGCCCAAACATAGCTGATAAAATGAAGCCTTATTTAGGCCTACTGTTGGAATATTAGGGGAATGTATTTGTTTTAAATATTGATAGGGTTTTTCATCTTCGGGGGGATTTTCTTTTTTAATAAAATAAGCAGTTGATGATTCTCTTTCTTTCATATAATCGTTTAAATTATAATTGGCTCTTTTAGACGAATGGGGCTGTTGTTGTTGTTGTTCATCATCACTTAATAGTTCATTTTTAATAAAACAAGTAGGTTCCAACATTTCTTCCATGTATTCCGGCTCATCACGCATAAACTCATTTTCAAAATTACTTGTTGAAGACATATCGTGGTGTTTACGTTTGCGATAGAAACGTTGTGGTATATTATCCGAATCACGGGCTATAATGATTTTATGCTTCTCGTGATAGTGACGCTTAGCAACGGCCAACTCTTTTTCTAGCGTCTGATTGCAATTAATAAATAAACATTGAAAAGTGCAAGATTTTACATCATAAGATACTAAATCATCTACCGAAATAATAGATGTATTGGTTACTTGTCCATTGGAGATTTTACTGTATTTGGATTTATCAAATGGCTTAGCACCATTCGATTCAATGTCATAATTATGCACCAGACCATAGTGACGCTTAATGCTAAAAGGTTTTAAGCCTACTAGATAAGCTTTACAGCCGGGTACCTTACACAAGGACTTATTGATTAAGGGATCATAATCTATATACTGTTCAAAGTTTATGGTTGTTTGTTGATCCCCTAAATCGGCCATTTGTTCCTCGGGTATTTCCTCTTCCATTCTAGTATCGGCATAGGTGTCATTATTATAATATTCTGTTAATTCCTTACCCATAGCACGTAATGTCTCTTGGTTATCGTGTACAATAACAAAATTGTGTACCTTGTGATAATGTCTCTTAATATTACCTGTACGACGGCCACTCATGGGTCTTTCGCAATTCTTTATCAAACATTTCGATACATTGGTTTCTCTATTGTAATCCACATAATCGGCCACCAGGAATGTGCGATAACCTTTATCGTCATTAGCTTCTCCATCATTATGTTCAACATGTTTCCCTTTAGCCGGTTTATTATCATTAACATATTTAATGCTATACTGCATTTGCGATGGGTCCGTATTGTTCGGACTATTGTGAATATTTTGGTTTGTTGCGTTAGTTGTCGTTGTTGTTGTTGGTATAACACTATTATCATTTTCTTGTATATTCATATTGTGTACCTGCTGATAATGCCGTTTTAAACCAATTTTCTTTTTTCCTATGAAAACTGTGTGACACTCGGGAACCAAACATTGAGCAATATTTGTTTCGGCATCATAGTTAATGTATTTATTATAATCTAATTCAAATTCTTTAACACTCATTATGTTTTTTTGTTTCTTTTAAATAATTATTTTTATAATTTTGCAATTAGTTTTCCTGTCTTAAACGTGCACTCTGAAAAATTTATTAATTTTTCTTCTTGTGAACTAGTTGTGTATGACTCTTGCTCACTAACACGTATCCAAATGAACTAAATTTGTTTTTTTCTTGTTTCTTTTGTGTTATGCTCTTTTGCCTTTCAATGACAGGGTTGTTAAAAAAACATGTTCCCGAATCATAATAAAGCAGTTCTTTGCCACAAAAACTTGTGTGGAAAACTGGGGAAATGGTATTAGAGTGTGGTATATTAAGATGGCAATATTGTTGGTTAGCTGTTAAATTTAAACGGTAAAATTAACCTAAATTTATGGAATTGCGAAAAATTTGTATAATTTAAGTACCGATTATGGACAAGACTATGCTCAAAGCAATAGATTACTATTTTGATTATATAGTAAAGTCTGTAGACTAGTGCATACTATAAATTAGACTATATATAGTCTAGAGCTTAAAATTCACTATATTCCATACTATAGATTAGACTATAGTTCAGCCTATAGACTAGACTATTGTCCAGACTATTGATTAGACCATAGTCCAGACTATAGACTAGACATTAGGCAACAGTTCAGATTAAAGACTAGACTATAATAGTTCAGACTATAGACTAGACTTTAAACTAATATATAGTTCAGACTATAATATCTATTAATAGTTCAGGCTATATACTATAATATAGTTCAGACTAGACTAGATTATAGTTCAGACTAGACTAGATTATAGTTCAGACTATAAACTGGATTATAGTCTAATCTATAGTATGGAATATAGTGAATTTTAAGCTCTTGACTATATATAGTCTAATCTATAGTATGCATTAGTCTTCAGACTTCTTCAACAGTTCAAATTAAAGACTATCACCCCTATTCTGCATTTCGATTACGTTTACGCATTCAGTTACGCAACGATCAAAAAAAGGTATTCCAAAAAAAAAAAAAACTGAATCGTGAGAAAAAGAAGAAGCAATTCCATTTCGTTTCAATGCTTTACGAATATATGTATTCTGCGTTACAATCGTACCTACGTTTTTGTTTATGTGGCGGAGAGTCGAATCGAAATGCTGAATACCAAAGTTGCCAAACGGAGAAAATTTCGATTCGAAATGAAATGCAGAATAGGGGCCTATAGATAAGACCATAGTGCAGACTATAGTCTAGACTAGACAAAACTGTGGATTAGACCGTAGTGCATACTATAGTCTAGACTAAAGACAAAACTATAGACTAGACTAAGAACAGAAATATAGTCGCGACTATAGACTAGACTTTAGTCCAGACTGTAGACTAGACTATAGTCCAGACTGTAGGTAAGACTATGGACCAAATTATAATTCAGATCACTTATAGACTAGATTTCTGATTAAAGTTCTAATTACACTATAGTCTAAATAATAGACAAGTCTATGATCCAGATAATATGCTATTTTTCAGACTAAGGCCGGGTTTTTCAGATAAAGATAATCTGCATTCTTTTGGTTAAACCTAGTTTAATATATGTTTTGTGTTTTTCGGTAAATAGTAACGTTACTTATTATCTTAGTTTAACTGAGTGTTATTGGCCAATTAAACTTAAGTTATAAGTGAGAAGACACAATTAACGAAAACAATAAAACAATGATTTCGGAAGAACAAAAACTTAATATTTTAAGTAAATTGCAATTTTCTGATTTGTTTTGTTTTATTTATTATTGTTTTAAATGTTTATTTAACATTTTTCCAAAATTTTTCATTTTACAAATGTATTATTTGCAAAAAACAGCTGTTCATTGTTTATGTTTTTGAGTGAAAAGTTGGCAATACTAACAAAGTTAACTGAACTTAAATCCATAACTGAAAAACACAATCATCGGTTAAAGTCCGCCTAAATTTGTTCCGAGTTTAATCTAACAGCAAGTTAAGCCTAGTTTAACTGAGTAGTAAGAAACCCGCCCTAAGTAGAACTCACTACAGTCGATACTTTAAACCAGAGGAGCGCAAGATTGCCATTACATAGCACGCGTGATAGGGTAAGAAAATTCTGCTGACGCTAAGTTGATACACATACACTATAGGTTTAATTCTTCTTCTTTTTATAATGAGCAATATCAGTTGGTTTGCTCTCAACTTGAAAAACAAAATCAAATCAGTTGCTGATCAGCACTTGTCGAAGTAAGGTCTGTACGCGACGCTTTTAAAATACACACAGAAATACAACAACAAAATTTTGAGAAAGCCGAATTAATATAGGAGAACATGAGAGAACAGTTGATAGTTTTTTATATATAGACTTTGATATACGCTGGCTGTCAAAATCCATAATAAATATTTGACAGTTAGCATTTGCTTTATAGTTTATAGTCATTTTATTAGTATACTTTTATTTTGAATTGAATTCTGTTCTCTGCTGCTTTACCAACACAAATAAAACTATGGTAGTCTATGGTAGTATGTGTTTGAGCAACACTGCTTTAAACCCAAAAAACGAATTTTTAATAAAAAATAAAACTCATAAATATTTTTTTTTTTTCAAAAATTTTATTTAAATATTTGTTTGTTGTATTTTTGTTTTCTTCTTTGTAGTATTTTTAATTGTATATCTAGAGTTGTACAGACAGATGTATGTTGTTGTTGTTTTGTAAGGTGTTTGTTTAATTTATAAAAAAAATAATAAATGTTATTTGGTATACAAACAAAAAATATAAAAAAATGTGGTCTAAATTTTACATTTAACAAGCAAAATATCTAATAAAAAAAAATTATAATATTTATAATGTTAAATATAAAAAAATACAATATAAAAGTTTTTTTTTGAAAAAAAAAAAAAAGAAAAAATTCTAAAAAATATAAGGAAAATTTAGAAAACAAATGAAAATTTTGTTTGGTTTATTAAACTTTTACGATTATGATTCAAGTAAGGTTTTCAAAAATTTTCCAAATAAAAAAAAATAATGATGTTAAATAATTTTTTTTTAGTAATTTGTGTATAAAACAATAATGTTGGTTGTTATATGCTGGTGTTATAAAGAAGTGTCTCAAAGATTAAGAAAAAAAATTCATTAAACCAAACTTTGTTTAAATATATAAATTATTAAATATAAAAATGTATATATTAACAAATTTTATTTTTTTTTATATATAAATTTAAAAAATAAAAGTATATTTAAAAAGTTGCTATATATTTTAAAATATATTACAAAAATAATAATAATACTTTTATAGTTTAAATGTAGAAGAAGAAAAAAAAACAAAATAAGTGATTCGAGAAAGAAAAGCTTAATGAATTTTGTTTAAATTAATTAAAACACTTAAATATAATATAAGCACAAATACAAAAATAAAGGGAGTTGTGTGTTTGTTGTTGTCTTAGGGTTTTAAATAAACAAATTAAGGTAATTTTTAAAGATGTTTTTTTTTTTAAGAAAAAATAATATGAAATTGTTGGCTTAAGTGTTATTTTTATTTTAAATTGTTGGTAGCTGTTGTTGTTGTTGTTGTTGTCTGTACCACCACTAAATGTTATTACCTGGTTACCACAATTAGAGGCTGCTGTTGCTGCATGTTAGGCTTTTATTTAAGCGCTGCTTTCTGTAGTGGTATTTTTAACTTCCTGGCCAACATTCTACTCATAAGAGTTTTAAATTTGTTTTTAATGTTTGTTGTTGTTTTTAAATGGAATAAATGTTGGATTGGGAGAGGTGTGTTTGTGGTAAAGTTGTAAAATTTTGAAAATAAACATAAAAAATGAAATAAAAAAGGGAAAATTTAAATAAATTTATAAACAAAATTATAATAAAATAAAAATTTCTAAATGTTATTAAAAAAAAAAATAGGGAGTTATGGGATAAAAGGAAATGTTAAAAACAACATAAATAAAATAGAAACTAGGATAATGCTTATGAGAAGCCCTAATATAAAGCATTAACATGTTAATGTATCAGCAATTGGTTCCCAAAAATCTCCAAAGAACCAATCACTTTTCCATAGACTATTGTCGAGTCTAAAGAATAGATCAGACTAAAGACCTGATTATTGACAAAAATTTAGTCCACACTTTAATCAAGAATATAGACCAGACTATAAACCAGACTATAGTAAAGACTATAGACCAGACTATAGTCAAGTCTATAGACAAGACTATAGACCAGTCTATAGTCCAGACTATAGACCATAGTCAAGACTAAAGACCAAAATATAGTCAAGAATATATACCAGACTACAATCAAGGCAATGGACCAGACTATAGTAAAGGCTATAGACCAGACTATAATGAAGACTATAGAACAGACTATAATCAAGACTATAAGACCAGACTATAGTCAAGACTATAAGACCAGACTATAGTCAAGACTATAAGACCAGACTATAGTCAAGACTATAGACCAGACTATAATGAAGACTATAGAACAGACTATAATCAAGACTATAAGACCAGACTATAGTCAAGACTATAGACCAGACTATAGTCAAGACCATAGACCAGACTATAGTCAAGACTATAGACCAGAATATAGTCAAGACATAGATCAATCTATAGAATATAGACCAGACTACAGTCAAGACTATAGACCACACTATAGTAAAGACTATAGACCAGACTATAGTCAAGTCTATAGACCAGACTATAGACCAGGCTATAGTCCAGACTATAGACCATAGTCAAGACTAAAGACCAGAATATAGTCAAGAATATATACCAGACTACAATCAAGGCAATGGATCAGACAATAGTCAAGGCTATAGACCAGACTTTAATGAAGACTATAGAACAGACTATAATCAAGACTATAAGACCAGACTATAGTCAAGACTATAAGACCAGACTATAGTCAAGACTATAGAACAGACTATAATCAAGACTATAAGACCAGACTCTAGTCAAGACTATAAGACCAGACTATAGTCAAGACCATAGACCAGACTATAGTCAAGACTATAGACCAGAATATAGTCAAGACATTCACCAGTCTATAGTCTTGACTATAGACCAGACTATAGTATGACTATAGAACAGACTATAGTCAAGACTATAGTCAAAACTATAGACCAGACTAAGTCAAGACTATAGACCAGTCCATAGTCAAGAATATAATATAGGCAAGACTGTATTTCTTACCGTCGGAAAGGCTATAAATAAACCTTGACAATAGAATGGACAATAGAATAAAGCCTCACATCTTAATACTTGAAATACCCCACAAAAAATATGAATTTTAATTTGTTTATGATGAAAATATATAATTTGTTAATTTATTAGTAATGATTAAAAACTTATTTTAGGTTGGTTTTCAAAATGAATTTTATTCTTTAATGATGTTATTTGATTTGAGTTTTTTTTTCTTTTTTGTTTCTTGTATTTTTTTGCAGTCATTTTACAATAAATGTTTTTTTTTTTAATTTTCTTTTTCTTGTCTTTGTTTAATTAATGATTATTATTGTTATTATTTATTAGTTGAGTAGTAAATATTAATTAAAGTGTCGGATTGTTTGGTTGTTTTGATAAATGTTAATTATTCAATATTTAGGTTAAAAGTAAACAAAAAATTGATGCTTGAGTCTTGTTTTTTGAAGAAAATTTATAAAAATAAGTAGATGTTTGATTAAACGAAAATAATTGAAACAAGACTGCTGCTGTATTTTTACTTGGTTGATGGTTGTTTGTTATTACATTTTTAGTACATTATTTGTTTTTTTTAGGTGTTATTTGCTGTTTTTTCTTTTAGTTTACCTGTTGCTGTTGTTGATTTTGTCCTCCAGCATTATTGTTGGGTTTTCTATTGTTGGTATTACGTCTTGGACGATTGTTACGTGGAGGACCTTGTTGTCCATTACCTAAAGTAAATAATAAAGGGGGAGTAATATTAATAAATAAATTATTATACATTTTAAATAATAAAATTAAAACTATTTTCTTGATTTTTATACAAAATTTTGCTAAGTTCCTTTATATTAGGGCAGTAAAATTTAATTTACTAAGTAGTCCTTTAAATAGTCAATAAATTTACTTTGTATTTTATAAATCTATTAGTTATTTTTTAAGGCTAATAGCGTCCGAAAGCTTTCCCTATGTTATCCCTTCCCGAAAAATTATAGACATTTTGTTTATTTTCATGCATTATGAGAAATGTAGCTAAATATTTATTAATTTTTCTTACATAAATTTTTGTTTTTTTTAATATTAAAATAATTGTTTTGTTTCTTAAGTTAATTAGTTATTCAATTGAAAATTATAAATTTTTTAAGGTTAGAACACTTTTTAACTATTTTAAAGCCAATGTCTTTCAAAATCAAATTTGTTCTTCTTAAAACGAGATTTAAAACATTTTTTTAAATAAATAACTAATAAAAATAATTAAATTTTAAACAAAATATGCTAAAACTCGTTAAAATTTCAATTGAATGTACTAAAACAAAAGAACTTAAAACTAAAACTTATATATTTGTTTTATAAAAATAAACAAATACCGTAGAACTTTTATTAATAATCATTCGAAAACTTACCGTCATTACGTGGTGGTCCACGGGGACCGCCGCCACCGCGATTATTGAAATTGCGACGGAAGAAACGTCTGGGTGGACCACCGCGACGCATGGCTGGGCCACCTTGACCATCGCCGCCCCTTTGATTAGAGTCAGCGTTCTGATCATGGCCACCATCGCCGCCCATACCTCCATCAACGCCACCTTGACGTCTGGGCTGGTTGCGGGGATAGTAGTTTCTAAAGCGTCGGCCGCGACCTCCTCTCATACCACCGCCGCCGCCACGTCTAAAATTGCGTTGCTGTCTTTGCGGTTGGTTTTGTTGATCACCATCGTGACCTCCTTGGTGGTCACCACCTTGCTGAGCTTGTCCCTGACCCTCTTGTAGCTGTTGTTGTTGTTGGTTGCCACCACCGCCTCCACCTTGCTTGCGACGGTTTCTTCTCATCCAGGGAAGATTACGACGTCTATCGGCAGCAAATTGACTGCCACGTACTGGCTCTCCCGAAGGACCAGTAACATTGGCGGCCTCATTGCCCTTTTCGCCAATGACAACATCGAATTCTACTACTTCACCGTCTCCCACCGAACGTACTGCCTTTTTGGGATTATTTTTGACAATAGCACTCTGGTGGACGAATACGTCTTCCTTTGTGTCGTCACGGTTAATAAAACCATAACCACTCTTAACATTGAACCATTTAACGGTACCGGTTACTTTAGTAGCTGTAATGGAAAAAAAAAAAAAAGAAAATTATAACCTCAAATATTAAAACGTTTTGTTTACAAACATTATCATTTGCACACTTTCAACAGCACCACAAACCGGTGTTGCCACAATTTTTCAACAACTTTTTAAAGGAAAAACTGAAAATTGGTTCCTAATAATCAAATTAGATTTTATAATCATTTTTATGACTAATTCTCCTAGTTTACTTTCAAAAAACTAAAAATAAGCTACATTTTAGTTAAAATTGCAGTTACTATTGTAATCGTAATAGTTATTAATGATAATTAATTCTGTATTGGCAACACTCTCCCTTTTTAAAAAGCAAATACAACAAATATAAATGCCAAAAATAATCAACAAAATTAGAAAATGTGAACGGAAGACAAGAAAGAATGATAAAAACACAAATGCAATAGGAAAAACAAAGAAAACAACAACAATGTGAACGTAAAAAAGTGGGTTGAGTAATTTTTTATGAATCACACACACACCAACACACACAATTAATTAGACAAGGGAGACGTTAAAAGCAGAAGCAACAAAAGGGGGGTTAAAGTTTGTTAAAAATAAACTTATGCGAGGGAAAAAATTCTTGCATTTTATGTATTGTGTTGTTCTTTTTTTATTTTTTGGGTCGAGACCGGTGTGTGAGTTCTAAAATTCTTTGTTTTTCCCCTTTATACTTCGTCTATAAGCTCTTTAGCATATCTGTATGTATGTAGCACTTCTAGCACAAAAAATAAGCAAAAAACAGCCCAAAAATTTTGTATGTAGAACCGGTGATGACCGTACTTTTTTTACAAAATGGCGGCCAATAAAAGTGTATTTTAAGCACACAATTTTCACACAGCAAAAAAAAGCTCACATTTTTAACATACACACATCATATTTGTTAATTTTTGCATGTGGTCTGGCATTAATTTAATTAGTTAAGTTCATATTTTTCTTTTTAACATACCAATAACTTCTTTAGCAGGCGGTGGCTGCTTTTGTTGAGCAGCATCACCTTGTGGGGAGTCTTGGGGTTGTTGTTGTTGTTGCTGCTGCTCTTGGAGCTTGGAGTCTTCCATTTTTACTTGCTTTTGTTGGTTTTACTACAAATTCTTTAATCCAAAAAAGCTGACAAAAATCGTCTTGTAAACTTTTTCTTCCTTTTTACACTTCTTAACTTTTTAAACAAGTTCCTTTTTCACCGATTTTTTGTTAGCTTCTTTAAGTATTTTTCTGTTTTTCTTGGTGTTTGGATGTTAGGTTTTTTTTTATTTGGGGACTCTTTCAACTACTCCGTTCTTAAAGTTCGAGTGATGGATGGTAAAAAAATCACTCCCAAATCCTTTTTGTCCGCTGTGCAATGATGTTTCTTTTCCAGATCTTACTCGAATGACATGAAAATCATGGTTTCCTAGAGATGGTAAAAATTCGTTCATGCATGTTGTTGCTAATTTCCAACGGGAGAGAAGAGGACAACTGTATAAACATAGAAAACGATTTGTTATTTCTTTTTGTTAATAAAATGTCTTCTTCCGCTTTGCTATAAAGTTGCCACTTTTTACCAAAAAATAAAAACCTATTCAATATAATTAAATGAACATATTAATAGTTCAAATTAACTTAATAATGTTTTCTTTTTTGTTAAATAATTTGAAACCCCATTTAAGCAATAACAATCTCTTAAAATGCAACACTGTTCTACTTACATTGGTCAAAACAAATTTCTCCCATCTCTATAATAAACTCGCTATAAATAATGTTGCCACTATGTTAAATACTATAAACAAATCCGTATTTACTTAAACAAATTAAAAAAGCAAAAAACAACAAAAAATCTTTAATATCACAACAAAAAAATAAATATAAACTTACATTTCATAATTAGTCTATATAAAAACAATAATATAACATTTTAAAACAGCAAATTATGCAAACAACTGGCATCACTATGTTTACAAAGTAAACACACACATCACGAATAGGGTTCTATAAATCGACTTTCGAATAATCGAACAATCGACTTTTTGTCGAAAAAAGTCGAAAAGTCGAAGTCGACTATTTTGTTCCAAAAAAGTCGATAACTCGACTATCGTCTATGAAAAAAGTTGAAAAGTCGACTTTGTAAATAAAAGTCGAAAAAAGTCGAAAAGTCGGAAAGTCGAAAAAAGTCGAAAAGTCGAAAAAAGTCGATAAGTCGAAAAAAGTCGATAAGTCGAAAAAAGTCGAAGAAAGTCGAAAAAAGTCGAAAAAAGTCGAAAAGTCGAAAAGTCGAAAATAGTCGAAAATTTTAAAAAAGTGGAAAAGAGGTCAAAAACTCTAATATAGTAGGAAAAACTCGAAAAAAGTATAAAATAGTCGAAATAAGTCGAAAAAAAGTCGAAATAAGTCGAAAATAGTCAAAAAGTCGTAAAAAATCGAAAAGTCGAAAAGTCGGAAAAAGTCGAAAAGTTGAAAAAAGTCGGAAAAAGTCGAAAAAAGTCGAAAAGTCGAAAAAAGTCGAAAAGTCGAAAAAAGTCGAAAAGTCGAAAAAAGTCGGAAAAAGTCGAAAAGTCGAAAAAAGTCGAAAAGTCGGAAAAAGTCGAAAAGTCGGAAAAAGTCGAAAAGTCGAAAAGTCGACCATTTATAAAGTACTAAAAGTCGAAAAGTCTAAAAGTCGACTTTTAAATAAATGAAAAAGGTCGAAAAGTCGAAAAATCGACTTTTCATAAAATGGAAAAAGTCGAAAGGTCGAAAAGTCGACTTTTAACTAAATGCAAAAAGTCGAAAAGTCGAAAAGTCGACTTTTTGTTTCAACTATAGAACCCTAATCACGAACAAGAAAATGACAATAATGACAAAATGTCAATAAGAATAATTTTTTGCAAGTGTTAAGAGCAATTTAACAATAATAGAAAGAAAAAAGTAATATAACTGATGCAATTAAAAAATATTTTACGTGTCTTTAATAATTATAACAAAATTAAACAAATCTAAAAAAAAATTTAAGAAAAAATATTGTTAATTGTTGGAAAAATTAAACAGAAAATAAAATACAAATACAAAGAAGAAAAAACGTGAGAACACAATACAAAAAAATGTCATAATTTAATAAATATGTGTGTTTTAATGCTAAAGAATATAAATTTAACAAGAGGTATATATTTATTAAGTGTTTTTTAATAATTTTGTAATAAAAACAGGAAAATTCTTATAAGATTTTCCTTGTATTATTTGTTCAAAATACGGCTTAATAACTAATTGTTGTGACGTCACATCGTATGATTCAAATAGCGTGCTGTGATTGGTTGTTCGTTCGATTACCGCTCTTTTCACTGCTCTCTCTTCTGTCGTTTACTTTCACAGCTGTTTGTTTTGGTTTTTTGTTGTGTTTGTAATAAAAGTAAATTAATTATAGGAAAATTAAATAATTTGTTATAAATTATTAAATAGTTATCTATTAACATTAAGTTATTATAAGAAAATAAGGAAATTTCCTTATTTAAAAATTAGTTTTTTTTGTTTTGTTAAAAAACAAAAGCAAACAACAAAAAAGTGAAAAGTGTTGCATACCTTAAAGTTTTTAATATTGCAGATTTGTTTTGGTAAATTAATTGATATTAGGAGTGACAAAAAATACACATTATTACATTATTTTAATAATTAAGGACATTTTTTAGTATTTATTAAATGTTTCCTTTGTTTAAAAGAAAATTTTATTAATTTGTATTATAAACAAAAGAGAATTCGTTAAGCTTTTCTTAACATATTTTGGTTGTTATCAGTTGACAATACTGTCAGCATTTTAAAGAAATAGAGAAAGGAAGGGAAGAGTAAGAGCATAACGGTTTTATTGTTATTGTTTATTATTGTAATTTGATTTATTTACATTTTTATTTGTTTTGCTAATTCGTTAATAAAAAAATGTGCTGTGTGTCATTTGTATAGGAAATTGATAAGGAAAATCAACCCAATCATCATTAATTTTATTAACAACGCAATAACACGAAGTAATATATTTTATTTAAAATGGATATGGATCCATCATTAGATATGGATCTAATGTCCAGTGGCATGGTGGATTCATTGGATCTATTTAAAGATGAAGATGCTTTAACCATAATTAAAGAAATGATATCACCAGGTGAGAAAATTTTCAATTTATTGCCTTTGTTTTTGCTAAAAATAATGACGGATGATAAGAATAAAATTATAGATGATAAGAAAAATAAAACTTAATTACGATTTTATGACATTTTAATCACATTTCCCTTACAGATATGCTAAAAAACTTTCTAGATGACATTGATCAACTACCCGATGATCTTCTCAATACTTTGGATTGTCCCATGGACGGCACACAGGCTGCTGTCAAGTCCGAACATGTGGCACCAGAAATGCACATTAAAACGGAATCCTTAACACCCATGCATTTGTCACCACAACGACCAGATATGCAATCACCCTCCTATAAACCTTTAATTGCTTCTGATCCTTTAATGGCTTCTAATTTCAGTCCCATACCACCCATGTCTAGTCCCTCATCTTCGGCTACCATGATACCAACCGCAGCACCTTTACAGCAAAAGTCTTTGGCTAATAACATGATCTTAAACAGGCAACATTTAGGTCAAACCCCACAACAACATATACAAGCCATGGACACGGGACTACTTACTACAGGAGCGGGTAATATTATATTGCAAAATAATAATACTGCTGCTACGGCTCCTTTACAATTAAGTCATTTGGATATAAATAATCAAACCATAGCATTAACCCAAGTCACCAGTGCGGCTATGCCAACAATACCTTCTATTCTTTACGCTACCACGGCTAATGCAACTGGCGCTAATAGCAATAATGCTTTCATTTTACAAACAGCAGCAGCAGCTCCTCAACAAACCAGTAATTTATTAAATAATGTCACAGCAAACGATAAAAAAGTACAAATTTCCTCGAACTCTACAAATAATGGGACAGCAGCCACCTCCAGTACCCAATATAAGAAAATACAATCTATGCCGCAAGTTTTGACGGTACAAAGTATAGGACAGGATAAAGCCCAACAGCAGCAGCAACACATTTTGCCGGCACAAACCACCATTAAGGTAAGAAAAGACATCTAGTACATCCAGTTCAAAATTTCACTAAATGTTTCTTAACTCTGTTTTAGTATACCACCAATCCTACAACGTCTCCTCAACATCATCAACAGCAAACAGCAGCAGGCACCGCAACACAACAAAACCCCACAGCACAACAGCAACAACCCCAAGTTATTATACAAGCAAATCCCGCTGTTATGTATACTACCGCCAATGGTACGGCTATTTTAACTTCACACATCCCTGTTGTTTTGGAGCCCGTTACAGCCATGGCAGCAAGTGCCAACTCCACTACCACCAGCACCACCCCTTTACCAGCTGCTTCCAATTCGTCCCTCAACTCTATATCACCCATGTCATCGCCTACACACACCGCAATGGATAATACAAAGATTGGCATTTCTCGGGGTCCGCCTAAAGTCAAGGAAGTAAAACGTTCTGCCCATAATGCCATCGAACGGCGTTATCGCACCTCAATAAATGACAAAATAACCGAACTAAAGAACTTGGTAGTTGGTGAGGCTGCTAAATTAAATAAATCCGCTGTTTTACGCAAATCTGTTGATAAGATACGTGATTTACAACGTCAAAACTATGAATTGAAAATGGAAGTACAACGTCTGCAAAGTGAACTAATGTCTCGTGATGGTTCTAAGGTACAAGATCTACTACATCCCTCGGGTAGGGGGAAGAAACGTAAACCCTCTACTGGTCATCATGAGGATATGATCATGTATGGTAAAGAACAATCTCTAATGACACCACCACGTAGTGATGTTTCGGATCCTTCACTATCGCCCCCGCATTCCGATATTTCTCTTCCTCCCTCACCCTATGATGGCTCTAGCTCTTCGTCCAGCATTAAAGATGGTGATTTGGATATATTGCCCAAATCTATGCAGGGCATGGCTGCTCATTCTCGTCTAGCCTTGTGTATGTTTATGTTTGCCATTATCGCTATAAATCCATTTAAAAATTTCCTTGGTGGCTACGATGCGGACCGTAATTATCTATTCGATGATGAAGATTTGGTGGGACAACGTAAAATATTGTCCATTGAGGAGGATAGTAAGTTATATTAATGTCGAAATAAATGGTTATTTAATTTTCGATCCTTTTCACTTTAGCTTCCAGTGGTTTTAGCTGGGAATCTTCCACATCTTCGCTTATGTTATGGAGTATGAATATTTTGGTAATGTTGATGTGTATGATAAAAGTTTTGGTTTATGGTGATCCTCTGTTGGGTTCTGAAACGCCTGCTAGCGATACGTATTGGAAGCACAAGAAAATGGCCGAACATTATTTTGCAACGGTAAGAATTATTC